TAGAGCACAGCCAATAATCAAGTAAAAATTTTCTTTCTATTACTTATATGTAGAGCACTGCCATTCAAGCACAAAAATTTAAATAAAAAACATGTTTAGAGATGTTTTTAAAAAAGAGGTAGTGTTTAAAAATAAACACCTTTGCTCAAGAGGAGAAGACACACTTGAACAATTAAACATAATAAAGAAATCGGAAAGGGAAAAAAATATTTACAAAAAGAATTAACTTGCAAATGATAATACAGTAGAAGTCCATTAGTCCGGCATCCAACAGTCCGGAATGCCCGATAGTCCGGCATCGCTCCGGAAAATTGTAAAAATTTTGGTTTCCTCCAAAAGTGTGTCTTTAGAGCAAATAAAAACGCTCGAGAGCTATTTGGAAGTTTTCAGGGTAGTTCGGGATCATCCGGAAGCGCTCGGTACTAAAGCCATCCTTCTTTTGGACAATTGCAAAACCCACCCGCCAGTAGATGAGTCAGTTTCTGGAAATATTGCTGCTACTCTGCTCCCACCTAACGTAACATCTTTGATTCAACCCATGGGTTATTCAAAATTTTAAATGCTTTTATAGAAGGTCTTTTATTCAAGGCCTGTTAAATGCCAACTGTGACATGACTTATATTCAAAAAAAGTTTACAGTAAAAGATGCCGTCTATGCTATTGCACTGCCTTGGAACCAGGTAAAAAATACAACACTCCAAAAATGCCGAAAGTCAAGAAAACAAAAAGACATTCGTGACTTTTTTAAATCTAAGTGAAATATGTTTTACAGTACATGTACATACATTATATGAAATGTAAAATAAAGTTTGTTGTATGTATTTGCTAGTTTAATTATTAACCTAATTGTTCGTATAATTACCGCCCGATAGACCGGAATTTTCGGTAGTCCGGCACCGAGCCGGTCCCGAACGTGCTGGATTATCGGACTTCTACTGTATTGAAATAAAATCTCTTTATTTCAAAAGGCAAAATTAATCTACAGCCGGTGTGATAATCTGCATCCAGGGGTCTGTCCAGGCCGAATTTACTACCGTTCAGCGGTACCTTCACAAATTCAATTTTAGGAAAAACGGTAGTTTCACAAATTCAACTTAAGGAAAAACGGTAGTTTCACAAAATACTTTTCTTAAAATTTTATTTTTATATCCCTTAAGACACGATAAATTCATATTTTTACCATATTTTTGTGTTGATTTTTTAATATAATTTTTAATTTTTCACAAATTATGTCTAAATTTTCACAAAATAGGTACCTCTCAGAAAAACCTAGACAGACCCCTGGCATCATTCGCAGCCACGGGGAGGGTTTCTTCTACCAGGCATAAGATAAACTAGTCATTACAATATGAAAAAAAAATATTAACTACATATTACCTGAGAGTAATGATCATTGTAATTAATCTCAACCACATTTTGTAGTTCGTGAGAAAAGTTTTGGACATCAGACTGCAATTTAGTGTCACTTTTGGGGCCACTTTTTTGCAGTGCTTCATTTATCACTGAAGACATGTAAGTTTTCATCTCTGATTCTTTCTTTCTTCTTTCATCTGAATTAATATTATCCTAAAAGTTTAACCTTGTGGATTACATGGAGAAAACTCAATGCAAAAATGTAATATGAGTAACTCAGAAATTTGCATAGATAATTGTAAATAGAAACATGCAATAATAATGATAAATGCCAACAATAAAATTCACAAATCAATGCAATGAGGATTTAGATTTCAATAAAGATGTAATAAAGACAGATAAGAGAAAACTTGTTTGCCTTTTTACTCTTCAGCAGTCATTTGAGAAATATTTTGGAAAAATTTTTATGCACCAGTAGTTTTAAAGGATGAAAATTAATAAGTTCTTGATTATCAGTGACAATAATTAATGGCACGTTTTTAAAAAAAAATTATTGAATTTTTAAGAGTAGTCAACTAGAATGATTGAGAAAAGGGTTGTGAAATATGTTTTAATGGCATTTATTAATAATTTTAAACACCATTAATCTATTGGTAGGTAAGTATATAATACAATATAAGGTAGCATGAATTAAATTTAGAACAAAACGTATGACTAAGCTTCAGGGTTGGATTAAAGGCTTGAACAGACTAGGAGCTGTTGCATAACTTAGGGGTTCTTTTACCACAAATTAGTTAACATTGATCATGTATTGAGTTATGGTAACTACTAGTTTAAAACATACTAAATTCCAGTCAATATGCTAGTAAAAAAAACCAAATAAATTGCAGATTGAGTTTTTCTAAAAATTGCAATATGTAAAATCCTAATTTAATCATTTTGTGCCTTTAAAAAATGTGGTTTAATATTTGTGCTAATTGTACTAAGCATTGAAATGTATTAACTGTTAAGCATTTATAAAAAAAAAAAAAAAATGTGATTAAATCACAAATATAAAATATTCTTTTATTAGTAAATTGCTATTTTTACAAACTGTAAATCTTTATTTCTAAAGTTTTACATGGATAATGAAACTCTGGAGCACTCATGCATGCACTGTGTTATATTTTTCTAATAACTGTTAACAGTAGAAAGAAGTATGAAAACTCAAACAGAAAAACATTTCTGTCTGTAGCTAAAAAAAACTTTAAAAATAAATTTTTTATTTTTTTAGAAAAAATTACACTCAAAATATCTTATGTATCTTATTCTATGTAATTTTAAAAAATGTAATTAAAATCAGCTTTACTCATTTAAATTTAGGGCCCTAAAACATTTAAGGGTCTGGAGTTATCAAATACTTATGTTACAGCTAGAATACCTTTTAAAACATTTAAATAGTAAATTTTATTATAAATTGAAGCATGTTGAAATTCGTAAATAACATTTCTATAGAATATTTTGCAATTTTCCTTAAAAAGAGAAACATTTAATAGAAAAAGAAAATTACCAAAACTGCAGGACTGTTGGTATAGTTTGAGAAATATTTATTTACAAAGTCAGAGCCCAAGAGTTGAAATATAATCTGTTTATTAACTGGATTCATCAACTTTTTCTCTATATTTTGTTTTAAAATTTGACTAACTTTGTATTCTACCTGAAAAAAAAATTTTTAAACTTCANAAAAAAAAAAAAAAACAAATTTAAACTTCATTATTTGTCAGAAAAAGTATAATATTTTTCTAATCAAACAGAAGAAAAAGATTTAAAACTCAGAGATAAACATTTTTTCAAAGAAAATTTTCCAAATTAATTATTAGTCTGTTTTATTTATATTTTAATAAAATATTACCAATACATTCTGTCAATCAAGCAACTATTAAAAATATATAACAGACTTGTAAGTCCGATGATTGAATTTTGAATTCAATATTTCAATTATCAAGAAATCTTCTATATTGGTATTGTTTAAATTGATAAAATTAACACCATTAAGAAATTTGCGAAATTATGATTGTATGAACCAGTGTTATCCAAACAAATCTTCTATATTGGTATTGTTTAAATTGACAAAATTAACATAGTTAAGAAATTTGTGAAATTATTATTCTATGAACCAGTGTTATCCAAAGAAATCTTTTACATTGGTATTGTTTAAATTGATAAAATTAACACCATTAAGAAATTTGTGAAATTATGACTGTATGAACCAGTGTTATCCAAACAAAATATTTTAAGAGAGTAATTTCATCCTTCAATTTTTGAGTGAATTTTAAAAAATACACATTTGTAAATAACTGCCATTTTAGAGCACATGTTACACTATAAACTAACATATAAATTATATGAAGGTAAACACACTAAAATTAGTGATTGAATATTTAATAAAAAAAAACTTTTTATTTTTCAATATTTCCAATTTCCCCCCTTCTATTTACAGGTTAATTAGACTAAGATTTTTTTAAAAAAGAAAAAAAATCATCAATAAAATCTAAGGAGTTTAATTTTTTCTTTTATTTTGATCATTTAATATTATGTTTAAAAATCAAAGTTACAATTAAAATCTAAATTGGAAGCAAAACAATCTGGAAAAGTCATCCAATTGTTCCAAAGCAACTTTTTGAGATTGTATTCTATTCTAAGCAACAAAATCTCTTTCAAAAGCTCTTGCCTTTATTGGTAATGTTAGAGAAATAACAATTTCTTAAATTAAGAATAAATGAAAGATATTGTTAATCTCTAGGGACTCATTGACTGACAATTACTAACAATTACATTGACTGAACTCATTGACTGACAATTACATTGACTGAAAGTTAACAATTTTAACAAAAATTTTTATAGCATTTTCACAACCGGTAAAAGTTTTGATCAGTGAAATCCAAATCTGAGGCATAAAATACACATCTAGTAGCGCATTGGCAAACTTTATTCCGGACTAAGATAACAACCCAATAACAAGTTAAATACTTAAAATACACAAAAAAAAAGTTTAAATACTAAAAGTTTATATACTAAAAGTTTATATATACTCATTCTAGTGATAAAGTACAAACTAATATAAATGTTTCCAATTAATGTTCATAAGATAAGGAGGAAAAAAACTAAGCTTAATTATTTTTAACAAGGTTTCAAAAACTGATTTTAAATATTTTTTAATTAAATTACAATGCATCAACAATATATTCATTTATTGATTTTTTAGGTTAATTATTTAACATTTCGAAAATAACTTTATTTTTTTAAATTAATACACATTTAAACATAGCCCTTACTTATGATAAGGTTGTGTTAAAAATGGTTTTGTTTCATTCCAGTTTAAAAAAAAAAAACTTGTTTTCAGTGATCTTGTTTTGATTTAATTATTTTTATAGTAAAGATAATTTAAATAAAAATAGATAATTACTTTTCTCCAAGAGCTAAATGTTACAGATTGGTCCACATAGCCTTGAAAGCAATTCTCGTTTTCAAGTTGAGATTCATTCATGTTTAGATCACAGAAAAGTTCTTATGGCACTTTCACAATGAGGTGGATACTGATAATGAATATTTGAAATGATAATGACAGTTCATATCTGAAGTTGTAGTTTAAAATAAATAATCACACCACCAAACTTCATATTGGAGCATCATATTTACAAATTAAAAATGTCCTTTTAAAACACTAGGAGGTTCCTAATTGAGCTGCCGGTGGAGATTCTCCATAACAATGTTTAGCCTTTGGATCGGTGTAAGAATTCTCATGTTGAACACTCTAAGGAATTAATAAATATCGTAAATACCTAAAGCTATTAAAAAATACAATAGCTACAATTCCCACAGAAATGAATTAAAACACAAATAATAAACTGAACCAAATCAATAACAGGGGTCTGTCCAGACATTTTGTGAAAGGTCCGGTTTTCGAGAAATTGTGAAAAAATTACTCACATTTTTTCAACCAGGGTCCGCTTTTATGAATTTGTGCAAATAGGGTCCGGTTATTGCAAAAAACTTTTTCAAGCAGTTTTTAAAGAAAAGTAGATACAAAATTAAGCTCGGCACTGTAAAATTATAATAAAAAAAATACATTTCCAAAAATAAACAACAACTGCTGCTTTTAAATTAAGAGATGCAACATACAAGTATTTGGTATTTAGCCTATACTGCTGAACGCAGAATATACATTTCGGACGAATAATGGAAGAATCGACGGCCGAAGACAAAACTTAATTCGTTTACATCAATCTTTCTTGTTTTCTGCCCTGAAAATTATACGTTTTTAAAAACAAAAGTTCTTTATAGTTTTTAAATTTACCTTCAATATAACCATTTGATAAATAACTTTTTGTCAAATTTGTGCAACAATATTTTAATTTAGAATTTGCATGAATTACTGCTCCATATCGCTAGACTCCTTTTTTGAATTAACATAAACTACTTGTTTTCATAGATTTTGGAAATTGAGTTCATTGAAATGTATAACAGGGGAGCTTCATAAAGCTCTCTCCTGATTCTATTTCCATCATACTACATTTCTATTTATAAAAGGCTCTCTTTTAGCAAAAGTGGAATATGAATTGAATGTATTAAAACAGATCAAATGGTTAAATAAAAACTATAATTTTATAATCCTGAAATACATGAAATCGATAAAATGGTTCATTTCGAAACAGATACATTTAAAAGTAAGTAAAATCTGATAAAAAATTATAAAATAAATATATATGATAAAAAGTTATATCATGATTTTCAAAATGGGTAAAACTATAGGGTGACCTGGGGTAATTCCTGATCAAAAAATGCAAACATCTATTTTGTGAAAAAACTATAAGATAGAATTTTAATATTTACTGGAAGTTTGAGGCTATATAAGATGAGTCCTATGCCACCTTCTTTTGTTTGAAAATCTAATTAGAATTTAAAATATTTTAAATTTTTAGTGATCAGGAATTACCCGTGGTCTTAATCAATTCTGGGGTAATTCCTGATCACTTCTGGGGTAATTACTGATCATCGGTTTTTATTGTGAAGGGGCTGTTTAAAAATAATTATATAATGGTAATTAACAAATAAGACGTCAAGATCAAACAAATAAACCAAAAAGATATGTTTAATCAGCTAGTAAAACGATTTATTTAAAAGCAAAAAGAAAGATTAACACTTTAAATTTTCCAAAAATCTTTGCATCGTGCCATACATTTTAGGCAATCAGCCAACTCATTCTCATGTTCTGCTGAAATATAAGAGAGTTCCCACATGGGTTACTTTTGCTGGATTTTTTAACTTCATTAAGGAATAGTGTAAAGGTAAATAAGGTGTGTCAGCAGCTCTCACACTGAAATTTTCATTTTCAATCATTAAAAGAAATTCACTAATTTTGCTTTCTAGAAGCTTAGTATCCTTTTTAGGCTTATAATTTCTCACCATATTTATACTAGGCTAATTTATAAACTTAAAAATTATTCTAACAATGTACACACATAAAATTAAGATAGAAGCAAGGTAAAACAAACCAGAAATGGTGCAAATCAGAATACAGTCTTGTATACAGTTAAAAACAAATTTTGTGATGACAGTTAAAATATATTTTATAGTTGTTCCACTCAATAAATATGAACTGTTATTTAAGAAAAGACAATTAGCTATTTTATATGCTATTTATAAGAAGAAATGACAATGATCAGGAATTACCCCAGTGATCAATATTTACCCCATCTGTAGGGGGCAACATTTGATATAGTTTCCTATAATCAATTATAATGCTTACAGTAGATGTGAAACAATTAAACAAAAGCTTACACTACTTTTATATCAAAGAAAAAGAAAGTAACTCAACATATTTATTATTAAGAAATGTGCACATTTTGAAACCCATCTTTGAAATGGAAAATACAGAAAGCAGTTTGAAAGATACTCATTTTGTTAGATTAAGTAAAAAACTATTATTATGTAAATGTAGTTATACTTTAGTAAAGTGTACAAGCATTCTTGTCATGTCTCAAATTAAAAAAAAAAAAGAATTTTAAAGTAAAACTTAGGTGATCATTATTTACCCCAGAAACAGAGTGATCGTGAATTACCCCGGGTCACCCTATATATAACCTTTAACTGTATATTAACCTATTTATATATAGATAACAAACAAAAATGAAAAAATAATAATAATAAAATCAAAAACACAAAAAAAACAACATTTGGACAAAGTTTAATTTAAGAATAAAGCTTAGAAATGCAAAAATACTTGGATGATGGCTTTTGTTCAACAAATACTGAATACAGCTGAAGTAGAAGTTATGAGCTGATTATTAAACTTAGTAACAAGCAATAATAACAAGACAAAGGAAAGAAGAAAGTTATAAAAGAAATTGTAAAGAATTGTAAGAAAGAAATTGTAATGAATTAGTAAAAACGCAATATGCCATATGATAAAAACATAAATTAACAATATTTATTTTAATTAATAGCTCTATCAGTACACCAAATTAATTATGTAAAACAAAACGAAATCTAATTACAAATACAACAATTGATAAAGCTAGGGTTACTGTTCTCATAAGTAAAATTAATTTATGCTAAAATATAATTAACAATTATAAAATAGTTTTAGAGTTAGAAATTAGAGAAAAAATTCTACGATAAAAATTAAATCCAATTGCGAATGATAATCAATTTATAATCAGTTCAATCAAATAAAAAAATTCTCGATGGGAATATTAAGATTTTTCTACCTGAGATGAAGTTCTACACTTAGTCAAGCAAAGCTCAAAATGATCTGTGATTGAGGCAAACAAAATATTGAATGTTTCAGATGCTTTCCCCAAAATTTTCATTAAAAGCATTCTCTGTAACAAATAAAGAATAAATAAAAGTCTTAACAACAGAAAATATTGTTTTGAATGATAAAAATAAATCAGAATTTCACTTTTTCTGGTTGTAAGCAACAAGAAATGCAGTATTCATAAATACTGCAGCAGCCATTTTCATGACAAGATTCACAGTTGTACCGACTTGTGGTAGAAGAATCTACATTACAGCATCCATTAGACAAAACATCATGCCTGGAACAAACATAGCCTGGAAACAAAATAAAATAATAATTAATTCACAAAATAACATTCTTTGAGAAACATGACAACATATAAACAAAGCCTTATCATCATAGCTACAGTAAGAAATACATAAACAAGTTATACATGAAAACAGAAAGTTTCCACGGGAACAGAAAAATGGTAACATACTTTTGCATGCTACTTTAATAGATTGCATGGGAATAAAAAATTATTTAAAAAACTTTTTAAGAAATAGGAGAAAAAAAATTATATAAAAAAATTACATTAAAATAGTATATGACATTGGTTTACATAAATTAAATTCAAACTAAATTACCTTTATCATCAGCAATTAAAACTTTTCCTTGGACAGAATTTCTGCAAGAGGTTATTTTTGAACTGTGATTAGTTTTATCATAGGATGTGTGCCATTTAAAAGATTGAGATGGAAGATTTATTGGAGGAATCATATTATCGTCTGCCATTGAGTCATCGGCCTAAAAAAAAATTTATGTTATAATTGATTATCTACAACATTTTCAGAATAAATAAATTTATACAAAATTAACCAAAAAAAAAAAAAAAAAAAAAAAAAANAAAAAAAAAAAAAACAAGTCAATAATATTACTAAACATGAAAGAGAGAGAGAGAGAGAGAGTGAAAAGAATAATGAAAATATTTTCTAAATTGCAATTTTTCCTTTTTTATTAATTTGGAAATTCTTTCAGAAATGAAAAGTATTTATTTCATAAAAAGAAATATCATACGATCAAAACCATAGCTCTTAATTTTTTGGAAATGTTATTGATTTCATTCTTTAGTTACTGGATTTACCAAAGAATGAAATTGATAATGATTTATTAATTTTATTAAAAATTTTAGCAATAAGTAAATTTTGAAATCTAAACTTTGAACCAAATTCGGAAAATACTTTTTAAGTGACACTAAAGAATATAAATACGTACTGATCAGGAGAAAAAAAACATATGCACGCACATGGAAGGTTGCTGATTGAGTCTCTAATATATATTTTTTTTTAGTTAATTATGATTCTAGTTTAAGATTTTGGATGGCTAATTGATCTACGAGCAAAGAATCTGAGAAAATTTTAATTAATTCAGATTTTAGCAATAAGTATTTTTTTATTGCTTTTTTTATCAATATTTTAGCAATAAGTAAATTTTTAATAAAAATCAAATTTTAATAAAAATTAAAAAAGTCTAATTATTTATTTCATTAAAAATTTTAATCATTCAAAAATAAGCTATATATTTTATGCTTAATTTTTAAACATTTTTTAAATTGAAATAGTAAACGTCCTATTCCAGAAAATACTGAATTTATAATAACACACTAAAAGATTACATTTGTTAGTCTCATAATTTACTGTTACATAGCAGGAAACAAGTTTCTTCTGTTTCTAAAAATAATAACAGTCAAAGCACCCTGCACTTAAATAATTGTAATAACATAAAATTTCAAAGAATTATATCCTGATGTGTTTGGTTGCTAAGTTATGAGAAGATGCTTGATATAAAAATAGATTTCTTCTTATCAAAGTGAAACATAATAAAATTTTAAGGTAAACATGATAAAACAAATATAATTTACATTTAAACTTCTGAGAGGAACTTCTAAAATTTATTTTTAATGTAAAACCTAATATAAATTAAGTAAAGCAATCAGTAAATAAATGCTCAATAAATGAATAATTAAAAAAAAAAAAGCGAAACAGAACAAAATGTGTACTTTTTAATCAACATAACTAATTTGATAAGAGATAATTCAAAAATACACAAATATGGAAACATATAAATCCAAAGATATAATTCTTCATATAATTCATGAAGTCAAATATGCATATTGATTATTTAATTAATTACAATACTCTTAGAAATTGGAATACATGGATTTTTAATCAAACAACTTACTTCGGGTAACCAATGGAATACACAATAACAAAAAGATATTGTGAATAAAATAGCAAGAACGATTTTCTTTCGTAAAAAACGGACAATTCTACCGGTAAACATTGCAAAAATTAAAGTATAATTTAATCTAGCTATATAATTTTGAAAATGTAAACAACTATACTAGAATTTCTCACGTCCCAAAATTATATTGTTTTGGGTGAAAATTTAACAATTCAAAAAATTTAATTGGAAACTTAAAACGAATTCAATTTTACTTTTACGAATTATTTAAATAATTTCTAAATCGAAAAATGATTGTTTACTATAATTTAATAATCCACCCCATTTATCACCTTCTCGTCTGCTTACTTTAAGATGAGAAAAGTTAAAGTTGTGAGCAAGCAGATCAATTTAATCAATTTTTTTCAAAAATATTCGATTTTTTTATTGGTTTTATGAATTTTATTAAAGAACACGTGCTTTTACAAAAAATTAAGGAGTTTAAAACATGAAACAGCAGATTCAAAAAATGTCAACAAATTTTAAGTATTCCCGTTAAATATCATTATTTCGTAACTAGAACCGCTCTTAACACAAACAAAACACAACTTTTCTCGGTGTTTACATTACTCGTTGGTTACATTAGACTTCAATTCAATTTAAATCAAGCTATAATTAATATATTGTATTAATTGATTGTAGCGTTATAAAGTGAATTATAAAGAATGTCTATTGAAATTGAATCTGCTGAGTAAGTGTCTATTTTGTTAATGTGTATATTTTTCGTCCCTTGAATTGTTAACAAAAATTGTAATTAATTTAAGTTGTAATTTCAAATATATGTTCTGAATTTATAGTTTGACATTAAATTATTAGTCAGATTTTTCATTGAATACTTATTTAAATTCATTCTTTGTTGCTCAAGAGATCTTAAATTATTATTGATCTGTTTCTTTAGTGTGATTCGTCTTATTCAGCAATATTTGAAGGAGAATAATCTGGTTAGGACTCTTCAAACACTACAGGTATTATTTATATTTAATTGCTTTCAATTTTTTATTAAATTGTGTAAAACTGAAATTTTGAAATTTTCTCAAAATGGAATTTATTGGAAATGGGGAGTTTTGTAAAATTTTAAATGATTCAAGAATTACTCAACAATAATGAATAATTTTCATATTAATGTATCATTATATGGTGCAATTTTCTTTAATATTTTATTTGAGTGAAAATTTTAAAATTATTGTTAGCTGGTTTTTTGGTAAAAATTTGCAATTCAGTGCCCTTATTTTAGTGATTTTTTTTATGTTCTTGCCGGAAAAAATTATGGTATTGTGATCTGTCGCATTATCTAAAACTGCTAATACTTCAAGTTGGCCCCCTTCTGCGATTTTCTTTTTTTTTTACTTTCTTGCGGGTTGCTTCCCAGAAGTTGCCAAAACCTGTCAATTTTCTCCTGCAGAGCACATTTTTTAGTGGTTGCAATGAGGGTGACTGCAAATATTTTCCAAGTTGGGTAACGGGGAAGAATGGCAGCAACACCCTGTTTCTGTTACTTTTACTCTCCCAATTTTTATAAATTTCTCGTTCGGTATGACTTCTCATTTGTAACATGTGATCTCTGATCGATTGTGTCAATTGATGTGACATCAATTGTAAACACAGTCAAGTGAAAGCCAAAAAACGGTCAGTTTCAGTTTGACAAGATGACTTATTTTTTCTTACAAGATAAGATTTTCTATCTAATGTGTCAGTTTTTGTAACATCATCAGCGTAGGTTGTAGCAAAGTAAACCAATTGAAAATAAGCGAAAAAAATAAAAATACCACACTATATTTGGAAGTAAAAGGAAGTGCTGATCTTACAAACTTATAACGATGTGAAAAAGGGAGGTTTAATTACTTGAACTCAACAGCATTTTACGGTGGTAAAAAATGCTGCTGAAAAGAGTGGTGGAGAAAACAGGTTTAAAAAAAAAAGTAAATGTTTTAAAAAAATTTTTTTTTAAAGTTTATCTTTATTATTTTTTCAGTTTCATTTCTTTAGCAATACAAACCCACAAATATTTTATAGATTTCACTGATACCTGACGCCCGGTGGCTGGGTGGTAGAGCTTTGCTCTTCTGTGCCATGGGTCCTGGGTTCGATCATTGGGCCGGGCAAGGTTGACTCAGCCTTTCATCCCTTCAGTGGGTTGATAAATGAGTACCAAGCAAGCTTGGGCTCTGCGTTTGGCTGACCATCTGACCGGAACATATGCTCCTGCACCCCAGAGCCCAAGGTCAAGAAAACTGAAATGGGCATAGTAGGCCTTGGCCCTCTATGGGCTGTCGCACCACTGAGTTTAATTTAGTTCACTGATACCTACCACCATAAATATAATCTGTTAACTCAAAACCTTTATTACGGCAGGCATCAGTTACATCTGCTCGCTTCAGACTCGGTTTTGTTTGATTTGGAGTTATTGAATGTTATTGATTTATACATAAATTGTTTTATAAATTATTATTTATTTATTTTTGTTCACTGCTATGACATTAAATACTCTTTGTCTCTACTTCTCTTTACTAATATTTTTAGTCTGAACTTATGTTCATAATTACAAGAGTAATTATCCTTAGTGGCTAGTGTTTTCTTTTCAAATAAGGCACAAGGTGTTATTGACAAAAGAATCTATATTTATATTTGACATTTTTATATTATTTAATTATCTCCATATGAACTTTTTATTTCTAACTTGATGGCCTCTTGCAAGTTGCCGATAATTTATTTCATTCATTCACAACCAATGTTATTTATATTAATAAGTCACTGGCTACAAAAAAAGAAAAAAGAAAAAAAAATTTTAAAAAAATCAGTCTATGACATTAATATTAAATTAAATTTATGGCAACATTTATTTTATTATTTTCAACATTTATTTATTTATATTTAACAAGTATATTTTTAAATTTGTTCTTTTTAGGAAGAAACATCTATTTCTTTGAATACTGTGGATAGTGTTGACAGCTTTGTTCAAGATATAAATAATGGACATTGGGATACTGTGTTGAAAGTTGTGCAGTCATTGAAACTTCCAGATAAGAAGTTGATTGATTTATATGAACAAGTAATTGAATTGTTTATTCTGATTTATCTGTATTTAATATTTATTGCTTTTTTCCATAATTTATGAGCAATAATTTTATTTTACAATTTGACTTAATTATAAATTTTATTTTTTAAATGATTATCAGGATTAATAGAGCATGCTTCTGACTCTCACTTTAGCTAATGTTTGGGAGCATAGTGAATTATTAAAATTATATTTCAATTAATTTCTATTATATATATACATATATACATACAGAGTTCTTCCTAGGAATAAAAAGGACAGAGTGCTTCCTCACTGAAGAGGTTTTCACTTAACACCGTAAAAATTTATCAAAATGTATAATATCGCTTAAAAACTCAATTTGATCCTCAACAATTTTTAAATTACCCTCTTGTACTCTTTTGTGTGTATATTTCAAAAAGTAATTGTCACTCATTATCTGAATAAGAGAAAAATTTGTAGTTTATGAAAAATAATTTTGGCATGCTTAAAGACANTATATATATATATATATATATATATATAAATAATTTTCTTTTTTTTTTCACAAAAAAAGTAAACTATGAAAAAAAAATTTTTTTTTTATAAACAACTTGAAAGCTTTTTTCTATAATTTAAACTGAAAATTATTAGAAAATTAATGTTTAAAGGTGCATTTTTTTTTTAAAAAAAAAACGTATTTATTTAAAAAGTAATTTTAAAATTTAAAGTCACTTAAAAATTTATTAATATACATCCCCACAAAATAAAAAAAAACTTATAAAAATTTAACCAGTTGAGAATAATCCTAACAAAGTAAATATTTGTAATAGTAATCAGAATTATACATATAAGCACAGATAATTTTACCAGCGTGTAATTATTATTTTATCAGTTAATTAATTTCTCTTAAAAATAAAATATAAGTAGAAAGTCAGTGTTTTTAAAGGATGGTGGCTCATTTTTACAAAAAGGGCAAAGAGAATACATTTATAGGGATCATAAGGTAGGCCGTTGTTCTGAAAATGCTTAGGAAGAACACTGATATATATTTACATAGTTCTAGTCATCTTAATTTCATTAGAGTTTGTTTTCTGATTTTATTTGTTTTCCAACTCTATATTTCTCAATTCAACCCCAAATTATTCATTTTTCAGATAATATCAATATTTAGCTCTAGTTGAAATTCGGGAACAAATCAGTAAATTTTTCTTGTAGTTGAATAATAAAGTCCTAAAGACATTGTGCTTGTAGCTAAGCTGTCAGTGACCCCACAAGCTCCAAAAAAATAGCATTGCAAGTTACATTTACAGTAAAAATAATTTTTTATTTATAAAACATTTTTTAATCCTCTTTATAAATAATAATAAGCCTTAATTAAACATCTAATATTGTAAATGTAAGATAAAAAGTTATTTGCTCGTCTTAGTTTCATTTAATGTTAGTGCATTCAATGTTTCAATTCAGTACCTTTTCCAAATTATGCGTTTTCTACGCATTTACGTTTTTTATTAATTTAAATTTAAATAAAATTAATGGGTATAATTATGCGCCATAATGTTTTTGTTTCATTTCATAATTTTAAATGTTTTATTATAAGTCTATGATAGGGCACACTTATAAATGTTGATAGCAAAATCTATGATATAAATGTTGATAACAAATAACACTTATAAATGTTGATAACAAAATCTATGTACACCACCTGCAAGCTGCTACCTATCACCAATTCAACTAAATTTTCCTAAAATGAACGAATTGTTTTCTGGAGTTTTGTGTTTGAATTTTACGCAGAGTTCATTTCCATTCAAACATCACTACTGGGCAATATGGTCATAAGAATATAAACTTTTTAAACCAGGAAATTTCTTAAATAGGTTTTACAGTATTACTTAAACCATGCTTCTAATTTTTTACAACAAATGTTGAGTGTATAAAATAATTAATACAATTCAGTTTTAGCTTCTCAATGGTTATGGTTTAATTACAGGTGGTGCTTGAACTTATCGAACTTCGAGAACTCGGAGCTGCTCGTTCATTGCTGAGACAAACTGATCCGATGATTAAAATGAAACAAGAGGAATCAGAGCGACATGTGCATTTGGAAAATCTCTTAGCTCGTTCATACTTTGATCCGAGAGAAGTTAGTTTCTTTAGCATAAAAATATCTTTATTTTTGTTTAAATGTTTAAGCATTTAAACTAACTGGTGTATTTGTAGGCTTATCCTGAGGGTAGCAGCAAAGAACGTAGAAGAGCAGCCATTGCTGCTTCTCTTGCTGGTGAAGTAAGTGTAGTACCACCTTCACGTTTACTTGCTCTTCTTGGTCAAGCACTGAAATGGCAACAACATCAAGGACTACTTCCTCCAGGTGTGATATAAATTATATTATAAAAAAGTTTTTGATCCAATAGTTTTCAGTATTTATTAAAACAGTTTTTTTTAGTTTTCTATTTAAATGTGCTTGTCATACCATCGTTTGTTTTCTTTATCCTATCTTAAATTCAATTAAGATAGGATATATATATGTGTGTGTGTGTGTGTGTAACATAACTTATACTTTCTCATACTTTATTATTCACATCCTGTCTTTCCATCTAATTTTAGTTCAAGTATGCATAAATTAATATTTTAAATTTTCCCTTAAATTGAACTGTGAGAAACATATTTTTTCCCTCAACCTATTTAATGGATCAATTGTAATTACTCAGGTTTCCCCTTCTCCCTAAGATGTAATGTATTACGGGACTATTTACAAGATTTTCCGTAATTTTTATTCAAGAGCATTTCGATATGTGCATTTGGATTCTCATTCTCTGATTAAATAAAGTTTAATGTGCTCTTTTTAAATCCTGTGTCTATCTTTTTAAATCCTGTGTCAAAGTTTCCTTCATTACTTGCCAGCTGCTAGCCATATCTTATTAGATCCATAAGTGCTGTGCAATATTTAGAAAAATTTATACCTGTAATTCTGCTTTTTGGTATCTAGCTGAAATATTATCAATAATAACTTTTATAAGGAAAATTATCAAACAATAAACTAATACTATGCAAAACCTTGTTATTAAATGCTGTGTGTTATTACAAAATTTTTTCTTCTTCTTCTTAAATTTCATGTATATTATATATACATTAAGTTGGCATTTTTGATATAATAGCCCTTTTCACACTAACAAAATCAGGCATTATAACATGTCATGATATGGCCTGTTTATAAAATTTATGTAAACATGTTAACTAAAAAAACTTTTTTAACTTAAAAAAACTAGGTATATTTTTGTAAAATGTTATGCAATAAAATTTTGTCTAATTACTGATATAAAGACCATAAGTTATTTAATGATCCTACTACAGATGAATCTTTGATAAAGACACTGATACAATATTTATGCTAAAATTAAGATACTAATGTTAAGATAGATATAGAAGAAAAATAGTTACCAATTAAAGAAGAAAAAACAATATAGAATCATATTGCCTTTTAAAGCTACTGAACACCTATGAGATAACATACAATTTTTGCAGATAGTGCAGTCTCTATTTTTGGTATTATAATTGAGCACACAGAATAAGTGTTTAGGAAAGTCACTCTCTCAAAAGAGAGTTTAAGTTCTTCGTATGGTAACATCAAGCAAAATAGTCTTTCTAAAAATTTCTTTTAATTTTTAATATCAAATAATGCCTTTTTAATAGTATTATTTTAGTCTTGGAAACTCAAAAAGGTTTAACTCTTGGTTTTAAAGTGATTTTTATTAGAAATGAAAAAAAAATGACATCTAGTATTAAATGCTATAAAATTGAAATGAATAGTAAATTCAGTTGTTATAATGGAAATTAAATATAATATTTCATCCATAGTATAGCAAATAGAGTTCTTATGTGTTAGTTATTATAATAAAATAGTTGCAATAACATGAGGTTATATTAAGGAGCAAATGTGGATACAGAATTTACTAGCTCCAGGACAAAATTTATTGTGAGTCTTTTACAAGAAATACTAAAAGTCTGATTTTCATATTTTGGAAGATATTAGGAAATAATTTTCTTTCTTTCTTCAAAATTGTAGTGTGTACTTTGATTGTCGAGATATGCTATATTTTTCATAAACATACTGAATTGTTATGACTTTCACTTGTTAGTGCTTATTTCTGTTGAAATCTAAATTTTTTTTCTTCTGGATTCTATCATTATTTTATATAAGAGAATTATTCGTAATTAAAAAAAATTATGGAAAAAAACTTTTTTTTTAACCTTTATACTTTTTTAAGAAAAATCATCAGGACCCTTATGAGTTCTGAGGCATTGAACAATTGTCCCTGTCTCTCTCCCTTCCCTCCTTTGAGCGCAGCCTTGCTAAAGAATGTAGACTGTATAGATATGTATAATAATCTATATATCACTATAGTATTACTTTATTTGACTTTTACAGGCCTGCTTTATGTTATGTTAAATATTGTAAGCATTTTTTAATTGACTTAATCAACAATTTATACATATAATCAAATATGACAATTTAAGTACAATCAGAGGTACTTTATAAAATGTCTCTTGATACAAATTATTTATCAGTGTCTATAAATATCTATTAGTGCAAGTGTTAAGGCTTTCACATACAATGATTGTTCTAGATTAAATGGTTATTTTCCACACAGTAAAAATTTTTTTTTTCATTTTAACAGAAAGTTTGAGCACTGAAGAATGCAATTCTTAGCAGAGTTAAGTTTTTAGTAAAAAATAGAAGTAAATAGACTGTATTTCTTATTTAAGCTTATTTACTATACAATGCACGTTTTCAAATATCGTCTAAGAAAATATTCAGTTTCTAATATTATTTAGGATTTAAATTTTTTATCATTTAGTTACTTATATACCACTTATATACCATACATCTTGTATCTTTCTAATTTTACCAACATTTGATCATTATGCTCAAAAAATTTGAAAATCAGCACATATTTTCTATAATTAAATTCAAAAGTATTTTTTCATTATAATAGGTACTACTATCGATTTGTTCAGAGGTAAAGCTGCTATTAAAGAACAGGAAGAGGAAAAATACCCTACACAACTTTCAAAACAAATCAAATTTGGCACAAAAGCGCATGTTGAATGTTCTAGGTTCTCACCTGATGGCCAGTACTTGGTTACAGGATCTGTTGACGGCTTCATTGAAGTATGGAATTTTACAACTGGAAAAATAAGAAAGGATTTAAAATATCAAGCTCAGGTATGGTGATTCCTTTTTTATTTTATTATTGGAAAGGTTCCTTATAGTAAAATCCTTATAATGAAGCATTCAATAATAAAGCATATAATAAAATCCTTATAATAATAAAGGTTCCTTATAATAAAGCATTTGTTTTTATATATTCATTGAGTGTTCAAATGTGTTTTCTGTGTTGATGAATGTAAAAAATGTGGTGATTGTTGACATTCTCTTGTGGGTATCTTTCCCATATTCTCTTTGGTGAATGTCCAAAGTATTTGTTACTGTCTGATTTGATATTTTAATTTGATTAGAATATAATAGGGAAAAAAAAACCTGTGCAAGGAATATCAAGTAAGAGTATGCCACACAATTACCTTTAACTATATACAGAACAGTATTTGGTACTCATTGTAGTGAGTCTTTCAAGGTCAGCAAATTACTAAATTTCTTTAAAAAGTGTGGAAGAATTTTTACTCTACTAGCTAATAATATGCAAATAGTATATTAAAACATAAACTTTTTTTTTTTGAAATCTTCTATAAAATAAATATTAAAATATAATATTAATTTTATAGAATAAATATTAAATTATAATATTTATTTTTATAATAAATAAAATAAATGTTATTATATTTATTTTATTTATTAAATAAAATTAATATAAAATAAACCTTCTATAAAATATATATATATATATCTTTTTTTTTTTAAAAATCCGTATTAATCACATTGCTTGGTATACATTTGCCTATTATTTCCTACTTAATGTTTTTCATTAAAATCCATCGCCAAATATACACTAGAGGCTGATTTATTCATTCTGAAATTCAGATCATTTACCAAAGTGTCCATGTGAATGCAAGGGAAAATTTTCAATATTCATAGATTTGTCTTAATTGATTTGTTTATATAGTAAGGTATATATACTTGATTTTTATATTTTAAACAGTTTTACCTCCTACATACACAGGCTATGTAAATTAAAGCCCCTCCTGTAGAAATGTTCAATAAAAATGTTTCATTGATTTTTTTTTATTTCCGTAAATTATGGATGAAACTTTGCTCTTAAAAAGGAAAGGTATGAAGATTTAAAAATGGTTAGATATATGCATAAAAAAACTAAACTCAATTTTTTTCTTTTGAATAATTTTCAACCTGCCATAGTAAAAACTTAATAAACCAGCAGTTTTGTATTTCTTCTTCACTCTATGTTATTAAACTAAAGTTTCACAAATTTTCTGTAAAAATTAGATAAGTTAAAGAAATAGTTACAAATGTGTGAAACAATATTATGTTTATTACCAGGCTGACTTGTGTTATGAAAAACCTTTATTAAAATACTGAATTTTATAATAGTAAATAAAAATTGGCAATATATAGTAAATAAAAATTGGCAAACATGGGTTAAAATTTATTGTGACAAGTTGTTTTTTTAGAAGTACATATACCAATCATAAATTTGCAGGATTATTGATCTGATTTTGTCTGTCCTTAGGTAAAAATAATGCTCATTTTTCTTATGAGTATGAAAGTTAATTTTCTAGTAAATTAAAATACATTGCTTACTTTTGAAAAAAAAAAAACTAATTTGATTTGTATATGTGTGAAAAGTTGATTAAACAGAAAAAAATGAAATCATTAATCTCCCTTACACCATAACTACTAACTTTTTTAAGATTTTTTTTTTAAAAATTTTTCAATTTAATTTTTAGTTTTTCATAATAATTACAATACATATCAATCATATTATGTCACAGAATATGATATGAAAGAAAATTTATATGATATCAATCATATATATCCTTTTCCCAAATCATATCTGATAAATGCTTTTTATTGCATGCAGTTAGATACATTTTATTTGTAATTAATTTTCAAGCAATTGTTACGTATATTATTACATTATATCATTATGCATATGCATATTATTATTATTTTTGTTTGTCTTTTCATGCCGAAACTTTCTTTGTTGCTTACCACTGTTGAAAACTTTATTTAGGATAACTTCATGATGATGGACGATGCAGTTTTATGCTTATGCTTTAGCAGAGATTCAGAAATGTTAGCATCTGGCAGTCAAGATGGAAAGATTAAGGTTATTTTCCTTAAATATTGAAGATTTTAATAATTCTATTCATTGTTATCTTTTTTTTGTTGGAAATTTTTGTCCCTTTCGTTCTTGTAAGAAATCAATATCATTCACAATACCCCTTAGTTCTTTTAATGATTGATATTCAATACATGATTCCAGTTATTTATAAACACATTTAAAAAAATTTTTATTGCCCTTTTTTTCCTTTTGCAATTCCATAACTGTTTTGTTTTATATATCTACATTCATTTTTATGATCAAATAAAAATTAATATCAAAAGAGAATACTCTTCCTCTATTAATTTCAAGTGTCAAACAACCTTCCTCATAAAAGTATTTAAAACTTGAATCTTTAAATTTCTAAATCAATATGGTGCATCTCTTCATGGAAATGTTTTACGTTCCCTGTATTATTAAAACAGTTAAAAATAAAAGCATTTTCATCTAGACTACTTCAATGATCATAATTTTTAAATATCAATTAAATTGTGTATCAGTATTGAAAAATACTTGTTTTGCCGGAGAAAATAATTTTTCTTTTCTTTTATGTGTTCTGATCTAAGCTAATTTACTCTTCATTGGATATTTAACGGACAAATTGCATCCCCGTCTGTAAAAATTTAGGATGTTTAGCTTGAACAAAAATAACTGATTTTATTTTTTTAGTGATTATAGTAGTAATTTCAATATTAGCAATATTATTATTATTTTTTTTTAAATATTATTAAGCATTATTAATAAATTTTGTCTTACAATATGGCATGTAAATTTAAAAAAAAGAAAAATGGAAAAAAATCTCATTTAAATCAAATGAATCTGATTTTTTTAAAAATCTTGTTTTTTTCCAACCCTGCTTTGCAATAAAAATTAGTCATACTAAATTTCATTGCTCACACACATACTCAGATAACATTATTTTATTATTAATAGAGGTAAACTTAATACAATGCTTTTTTCTTTAGACATAAAATCATAGATGCAATTTTAAAGTTTTAAAATAGTATATATCAGACTGTTTTCAAACAATTAAATGACCATGGCACATGGTCAAACAATTTTTCTTTATATTAAGTATGTATTTGTAAATGAATACTGTAATATCTTTTTGTATTCTAATTTAATTAGGTATGGAAAATTCAAACAGGTCAATGTCTTCGAAGATTTGAAAAAGCACATGCTAAAGGTGTTACCAGCTTACAATTTTCAAGGGATAGCAGTCAACTTTTAAGTACATCCTTTGACCAAACTATTAGGTGACAACCTTTTTCTTTTTTTAGTATTAGTATTTTATGTATTTTTTTTAAATATTTCCCCCACCTTTTTGCTATCTTTCTTACGAGAAATTCTAATACTGCTTTTAATGTACAGTACAGAACCCGTTATCCGGAAATCAGAAAACCGGAACAAAATTCAATAAATTTTCCACCATTTTTAATTTTTTTTTCTTCCCTCATAAGATTTTTCTTTCTTTTTTGAAAGATGTTTACCTTACCATCATTTTGGAAATAATCATTAGTGCATTACTTCATCGTTTTTTCTTCTTTTTAAGTTTATTTCTAAAATTTATTTTTTTTTAGTTGGGTTTAACAATTTAAAAAATGGCTTTTTGTAGTGATTCAGAAAACCGGAAAAATCAGTTATCCGGAATAGCGATGGTCCCGATCGTTCCGGATAATCGTTTCCCTACTGTATTTTCAAATTCAATTTTTTATTCTTTCAATAGATATGTTAGAAAAAGAATATAAAGTGTTTTGTTTAAAATTTTGTTTTTTCTTTTGTGTGTGTGTGTCTCCAATATTTTTTTGTTTGTTTTTGTTTTGTTTATTAAAATAGGCAATTTTATCATACTTGTTGGGTTGTTTTAAACGTGTATGTTCATTTATTTTCCTTTTGGGGTGGTTGAATAAAAGTTTATAGCATTTGGGTTCCTTTTTTTATAAATGCATATTTATTAACTCTCTAGAAAAAAGTTAAGGAAAACATAACTATTTTCTTGAAATTACTCTACATTAACTACATTGAACGACAAATATTCTACATTGAATTGCATCAACTGAACAATCCTATTCTTACAAAATAAATATGTAAATAGATGAAAATTTAAATGTATCTGATAAGAATTTTTTATTTGTTATTTAGTTTTATGCTGTTTTCCTCAAATTAGTGGTTTTTGTATATGAATTACTTACCTGATTCATTTAGATGGTCATTTTAAAAATTTAGCTTCAAATGCTTTTACAACAAATAAATATTTGTACAGTACAGAACCCGTTATCCGGAAATCAGAAAACCGGAAAACCAAGAAACCGGAACGAAATTCGATAAATTTTCCCGCCTTTTTTTTAAAAAAAATTTTTTTTTTTTCTCATAAGATTTTAGGATTTTTCTCTTTTTTGAAAGATGTTTACCTTACCATCATTTTGGAAATAATCATTAGTGTATTACTCCATCGCTTTTTCTTTTTAAGATTATTTCCAAAAATTTTTTTTTTTAGTTGTGTTTAACAATTAAAAAAACGGCTTTTTGTAGCGATTCAGAAAACTGGAAAAATCAATTATCCGGAATAGCGATGGTCCCGATCGTTCTGGATAATCGGTTCCCTACTGTACTTGAGATTAATAAAATAAGTCAAGTAGAAATTAATCAAATAAGTTAAAGCTAAAACAATAGTAAGTAAGAGTTAGAAATGATAAAAGTTGACAATAATGGGAAACAATCAGGAGGGATTAATTTTAAAGAATTTTGTTACAAATAAAAATTGATTTACTACGAGATAGTTATTATTTTTATTAACATTTAATTCTAATAGCCCTAGTACTTTTTCCTATTTCATTCATGGTCAATGCAACTAATGTGAATGTTTTTTATATCTATATTCCGAAATTTTTCCCCTTTATCCTGTAGGGTTCATGGCTTAAAGTCTGGCAAACTTTTAAAAGAGTTCAGAGGTCATACTTCATTTGTTAATGAAGCCATTTTCACTGCAGATGGTCACAACATCTTGAGTGCAAGTTCAGATGGTACTGTTAAGTTATGGAATATCAAGAGTACTGAATGTGTGAACACTTTTAAATCCTTTGGAGGAACTAGTGGTATAGATATTACAGTTAACAGTGTACATGCTTTGCCAAAAAATACAGAACATTTTGTTGTGTGTAATCGATCAAACACTGTCTCAATTCTTAATATGCAGAACCAGGTAAACATTCTTACTATATCTAGTTTCATTAGTTTATTAAATTTAAGAAATTAAAATATTATTTGTGTATATTTTTTTCTGGTGCAGTTGAATTGTAACATATTGGAAGTTTTGCTGCATTTGTAACTTTGTAATAGATAATATAAATTAATTTATACAGTAGGAACGATACTAAGGAGTGATAGCAATTTTATCATTTCTTGAAAAGAAATAGATTTTATTTCTTGGTTTTGGTAATTTTTGATGTCTTTTTAAGTATGCTTTTTTTCTTCTTTTTTTTTCTGAATATGAGATCTGTAAAGTAAAATAGACTTTCTTTTATTTAACATGGATGATTCAAAATGCAATGAGATTCGAATTAAAAATAATTTCCTATTGGCCAAAATATGAAAATCGTGTTATTATTTTTCCATGGCATTGCAGATATCATTACACAGGTTCCTATTGAGTTGCCAACACATTTTATCTACTGTCGGCTGGAGCACAATAATACCCTTCACAAAATTATTGTCACCTGCTTAATTTTTCCCCCAGCTATTAAAAAAAAAGATGGCTTAAAAAGTTAGGGCTGAGTTGTAGCCATGATAAATTAACATGGGTTTAAAGATAAAATGATTGAGACTTTATAATAAAATGAGTTTAATTTAATAAAAAATTGTAGTAAATTAATTGTATATATATTTTTAAAAAAAATAAGAGGTATAGAAGTTCATTTCAGTGCTGCAGCATCATCGTACACTGCACTGCTCACAATACTCTGCAGTGTATTTGTCAATTATCATGGCTTTAAATGGTGTTTTAATCAACATATATATTAAGATTTATACTATAGTAATTTAAATATTATTCTAAGTATACTTGCTATTTTATTTCAGATTGTAAGGAGTTTCTCCAGTGGTAAAAGAGAAGGTGGTGACTTTGTTTGCTGTGCCGTGTCTCCTCGCGGTGAATGGATTTATTGCGTTGGTGAAGATTTTGTGCTTTACTGTTTTTCTACTTCAACTGGAAAACTTGAAAGAACTTTAACAGTAATTATTTCTTATTTAGTTATATATTTTTATTTATTTATATAGATATTTTTTTATATATATAGTTAATTTTTTTTTTATTTGAAAATAATAATGAAACTTTTCCACTTTTTTTTATATCTCATAACAATGTACTGAAATTTATTTTCAAGTTTTTTTTACAATGCTTATTTTATTAAAATTATATTTCTATATATACAGTAGAAGTCTGTTGCAATAACCAGCAGAATTGCCATTGTAAACAAATACACATATTTAATGTTAAAACAGCAATAAAAAAAACTTAAAGATGAAATAGATACATTTACCTCTTTCCTTTTTGTTTTAATCAACTATATTGATTTAAAAGACACATTTTGAATAGAGTTTTTTCAAAAAAAAATAAATAAATAAATAAAGTTCTATAGCTTTAGACTTCATCAATAACACTGAATATGGATTTCAATAGTGGTGAACAAGTGACTCATTATTTTGAAATGTGTGGCAGGTATCTTAAAAATATAATTTTTCTTTTGTAAGGAAGATAACTTGCCGGTGGTCGCCCACAGAAAACTTTATAAACATAAAGGTGAAGTGATGTTCGTTTTTCTCTTCTTTTTTTTTGTGCTGATACCAGAAATGAATACAAATGATATCCATTTTACTTTTTTTTCGCACATCATTGTTCACATAAACAGTCAAAAAGTATATCCCCTCAAAAAATAAATAATAATTATAAATTGTCACAATAGCAGCAGGCTAGTTATTTTTAACTCATTACAGACATACTATTTTGGTGTCTCTGATATTAACATTTTGAGGGTAACTTGGAAACTTGTCAAAATAGCAGACTTCACATAATATGCTATACTCGGTACATCAAGCTTTTACTATATTTATTTTACTTAAAATAAGTTATGTCATATATTCATATTTTTATGTTTGTGTTAAAGAGTAATATTTCTTAAGTTCTTGTAACTCACAAAACTTTACAAAATAAAAAATTCTGTAAAAACTTTACAGTTTTTAATATAATTATTAACTATTTACATTACATATTCATATATTTAAAATTTTACGATTTTTTTTTCCAATTAGGTTCATGAGAAAGATGTGATTGGTATTGCTCATCATCCTCACCAAAATTTAATCAGTACCTATAGTGAAGACGGTCTGTTAAAATTGTGGAAACCGTAAACTACTGTACATATTCATTTCCTCATTCATTATTTTCATCAAAACATCATTTTCGGTTATGTATTATTTCATAGATAATAAATTCATGTCTTGTTACCTTCTTTATTTTTCTTGCATTAACAATAAACAAACTTTTGCTTCTATGGGGTTTAATCAGATTAAAGTCTAAAAATTATGGATGGAATTTATGCAACAATCGACTCTTTTTAATATTGCATGGTAAATTAAATTATTTTTGTTATTTGCTGAAATTTTTTACATATATATACGATGGGGGTGGTAATTTTGGGCTAGCAATTAGATATTTTCAACTTCTAAGTGACTTGTAAAAAAATGAGTTTTTTACCCCTTGTTATTTAATAAAAAATTAGTCTATTGGAGAAACTTCCATACATATTTGTGCAAATGTGAAATGCTTTATCATTCTGTAGAAATATTTTTATCACCATGATTTTAAAATATCTGTTATGTTAAATAACTAGTCCATTGATGCGCATAGAGTCAATATAATATTCCGTTAGCTTTTGTTTATTAGAAGGTATTATCACTAACTTGGTTTTGCTTTATATTAAAGATAGTAAATTTTTGTAGAACAGATCATATAAAACTTTATTTGCTAGTCTCATACATAGAATAGCTTTATAATAATAATATTTGAAGAAAAAATGTTTTGAAAGATACTCAACTGATATATAAATATATTAACTGGACAACTTAAAAAATTATTATTTGTGATAAGTAATGAACATGGAGTCAGTGTGCAAGACTTCAGTGTGCAAGTTGAGCATTTATAGTTTTCATTTTTTAATAGAATATTAATATTGAGATCATAATTTTTCATAAATGATATTTTTCTATTAAATTTAACAACCTGAAAAGGGTATTATTTTGATTTAGATTAGGGTGGCTCAATTGATAGAGTATTTTTTCTAACGACAGGCACTAAACTTCTCGTTCCTTGTCTTGTAAGATGCTGGAAGTGTCGCTCACTTAATGTTGCCTGGTCCGGTCGGCACAAGTATTTATTTTTTTTTTAAGGGCATGAAATTTCAATTCTAAAGATATAAGCTGGACTAAAATTTTTGCTTGCCACTACATTCAATAAAAATTAGGACAATTTTTAAAATGTAAAGATATGTAGTAGAACTAGATAACTTTATGATGACCAAAAGCATGAATGTAAAGACTTAAAATTATTACAATAATAATTATATTAAAAAATCAAATTTATGTTTCTAAAAGCAATAGTTTAACAAGTGCAATGCGGACAACTTAGCATTTTTTTATTCTAAATCGAAGAAATTTAGAATTAGTAATTTTTTATTCTTAATTGATATCAAAACACTTGCATGCTTTGCTGAGGCAAATTATCCAAACGTACATAGTATTTTATAAAAAGATAAAAACTTATTAGCATGTTTAAAATATTTGATAGACACTGGCAAGTGAAAATTTCGCACCCTGTTTTATGGTACTATAATGCATGAAATTTAAGACATGCAATATGAATTAATTAATTGTGGATTTTTTTACAAGACTAGCATTCTTCAAATTACAGCATTTTATTAATTTTCAAAACAAAATGATATAAAAAGCCAAATATTACTTTCATACTCTTTATTAAAAAGTCGAACACACATAGCCAGTGGAATTTCATTGTTAAAAAGCTACATTGTAAATCACATTTCATCACAAAGTAATAGATTTCTATTTCAGAATTTACAGGCGAAAGGAAGGTTGAATGTACATTGCACATATACAGTAAAAAGGAATGATAAAACTTTGAGACAAGTCCTTTTTTTTTACAGTCAATATAGTTCTACAAATTAGATTTGGCAACACAGGGCATTGCATTCTATCAAACATCTCTTTCAAGAGTAGATATTTACAACTTTAAAATGTTATTAAAAATATACTTCAGCTGTTTGTACAGCACTATGCCACAAAGTAGCAATGACAGATGATCGATGAAGGAAAAAAGAAAGTAAAAGTTAATTCTTAGTATGAAATTGAATCAGCAGTGAAACTTAATTTTAACAAAGTCATTGTTTTGTTCAGGGTATTAAATATTCGGAAAGCACACAGATTGATTTATTACTATTACAATAGTTGCAGTTGGTGAGAATAGGGAAATAAAATTTTTTTTTTGTTCAAAATATGGAGGAAATACTTTAAAAATAATCTTAAATATTACAACAATTTGAAAAAACTTAAACTGCAGGACCCTGACAAAAAGACAGCTGATCATATGACACGTGCAGTAAAGGCATTTCAATATACCTCTTATTACTGCTCATTACCAATTAACTTTGTGATGATGAGTCTGAAATCTATTTATTAAAAGATAACAATTAAACAAAACAAAAAGTATCAATAATTTTACACAATAATGTGAGTTCATGGCTTAATATATGTACCATAAAAATTGAAAAGAAGCCCCAAATTTAGATTTTCTAACTTACACCATAAGATAATAATCATCCTAATTTATTGTTAAAACTTTTAGACATAACCTTATAAACCTAACCATAATGACCGAACTAAGCCTCTGAACATTATTGAAGAAAATTCTGATTCTAATGTATTTTTAAAACTTTGTGACCTAACCTTACCATAATGACCTAGTTGAATCTCTGAGCATTGTAGAAGAAAATGTAGTTAAAATAATAATAAAAATGTTTTTTTGGTTTTATGGAAGTGTAAAATTATTCATTATATTCATCAATAAAACAACTTTTTTTGGTGTAGTAAAAATACAAGAACAATAAAGTATCCTGAGTTTTGAATAACATTTACTAAATCAACTACTATTTTTTTTATGTAACTAATGGTTTTTTTAATTTTTTAATATAAATAATTACATAATAATTTTTTAACAGTAAGCCAAAGATTCAGAGTAATCAAATATGGATATCTGATTATTTTTAGGAAAAACTTTTTTTAAAATAAAAATAAGTTGATACTTGGTCTTGTTAAGTAGTTAAATGCATTTTTTTAAAAAATGTTTTTCAATTAAAAAAAAGAAAAAAACACATAGTTGTGATTTTTCTCAATAATGTTTTCGTAATGAATTAAAATAAAATCTATAGGAAAACTTAAGCCTTTGGATGCAATAAATTGTTTCAAATAATTATTTTCAATAGTTTTACCTCAATAAATGGAAATTTTTAATTGAAAATATTTTTAATTTATTAGAAGCATCAAATTGGTATTAAAAAAAAAGCTAATATTTTTATGAAGTAAACAATTTGACAAAAGCAAAAAAAAAGTTTCACTGCTAAAATGCTGAGGCATTCAAACATATTCAACCAACCTTTCGAAAGAAACATGGTACAAATAATTTGAACTTATTGAGTCAAGGTCACTTGAGGTGGACTTGGTAGTTTATTCATAAAAATATCACAGGGAATATGACAATCAATCAAGTATTCCCATTTCCTTGCTTTTACTGCAGGTTTCCAATTGCAAATGTGAATGTTAATTCACAAGTGACAAAAGCATAAATAATTTCAATGTTCTTCCCTCGCTTTCCAAGTAGCTTCCCCCCTTTTTGCATATACATACTTTATACATTTAAAAAAAAACAATGCACCTGGTCTTTTTTTTTTTTTTAGAATGTAATAAATTAGTATTTTTTTTTGTGAGGACAAAAAGAGCATACTTTGGCATGAATAGGGCCTATTTTTCACCTTCTTGCTATGATCACTTAGACAAGTCATTGCTTGCAAACTTAAACAGATATAATTTATTGGGAAGTATGTTAATGGAAGATTTAATGTCACAAAAATAAGTTTCTATTACTTGCCACAAAAAAAAAAAAAATGCATACTAAAAAAAAATGCAATAAATGACAGATAAATAATTATGCACTTCGAATACAATAAAAATAAAATGATATAGAATACCGTATATCTCAGTGTATAAGTCAACCCCTGAAAAAAATCAAATATGAAAATTTCTAAACATAAAATAATAATTCTAAAAAGTTCTAGTGAGTTAAAATTATAAATATAACATATTAAAAATAGTTTATAAAGAGTTTAAATTGATACTGATTTATTCATATCTATCTCATTGTTTTTAATGCATCAATGCTTCACAATCAAATGCTCGACTTTATTATGACTTAAAGCAATCCCCCGATTTTCATAAAACTTTGGGACTTATACACTGGGATATATGGTAATACTATTGACAAATATAATTAATTAAACTCAGACACTATGAATTTTTAATTCTGTATAAAATTTATAACTGTTTATTGCACATTATAAACTTATCTTAATTTAACTTAATGAAAAATATGTTCATTTGAGCAATAATTATTATGATATAAATATTGAATTTTAATATCTATACTTAATAAAAGCCCTATTCATTTTAAAGTATCAGTGAATCGTCTTATCCCAAGTCACCTCATGATAACAGGCTATATGGCAGTGACGTCATGCTTTGATTTATTGGCCTTATATAAATGATTATTCCATAATACATAGCAACCTTCTATTATAAAACTATTTTAACTGCAGATAACAAAATACAATGGAGCCAAATAAATTAGTAAAATAAATAATAAAAAAAAATATTATTATTTTAACAGAAAAACAAGCATAAAGTACAAAATTCACATAAAATTTCATTAAAAAAAATCTATATTTTTACACATTATAATTACATAAATGTAGCAAAAATTTAAATCAATAAAACCATTTTCACCTGATCTTAAACAATTATTCAGAAAAGATTTTTTATTATTTTCTAGTGTTAAATGAGTTTTTGTTCTTTAAAAATTTACACGTGAGAAGCAAAAGTAATGACTAAACCTAATTAATTTTACTATTTTTTTTTTGCTTCAGAAACTCATAAGGATATATTTAAAATAAAATTTATTTAATTTCTAGCAATAGTTTGTAAAAAACTAAGGGAAAAAACTAAAATAATTGGAATAAGTAAAATAGATACATAATAAATGCTTTTTATAACATTAATTTAGTTGGACTCCAAAGTATTTTTAAACACAAAAACATTTTAAAACTGAACAATCAAAAAATAAGTTTTGGAAGCACATAATAATAATACTAAAAAAAAAAAAATGATTTAGAAAATAATTGCAATAAGTAAAACTTACAGACATATTTAATAAGATTCTAAATAATCATTCTAAATGCTTACAATGAAACCAATAAAATCGACTTAATTTGTGAAAATAAAAATTTTAATTTCCAACACAAAATAAGCAGATTAATTTAATAAAAATTTCTTTTCAAACTTATTTAGAAAGAAAGTTTATACTTGCACTCTTTTCATTCATATGACAAAAAGAAATAAAAATGATTGACTCTGAGTTTATAACATAAAAATTAATACTTTTAAAGAAAAAATTTGAGCAACATCATTCAAAAAACAAATTGAGTATCAATCAATAGATTGAATGTGGAGTGTACTTGAAATTTGGAAAACATATAACACACAAATTTTATTAAGTACATAACACAAACATCAAATACTTAGAACATAATGATGTGCCTAGTCATACAACTTAATATAAAATGAAACATATAAAGCAATATATAAATCATAATAACATTTTAAAAACTATCATAAAAGAAAAGACTAAATAAGCATGGAAAGACTATTTAAAATTGAGCTTTAAACTTTCTTTGACTATCTTGCATTAAACAATCTGAAGTGCAGGAAACTTAATTAAACTTTTAAGTAGAAAATTCTAAAGGTTTACTATAGTATTTAGAAAAAACTATAAAATTTGATCTGCTTTGGTTATACAGTGAATAAATAAAAAAATTGAATGTAACCAGTGTGATCATAGAACTACTATCACAAAAAAAAGAACACTAAAATATACCAAATAGCATTAAGTAGTTACTATGTATAATAATCCAGGTTTTGAAGAAGAAAAAAAGACTTTTTACTTTAAGTATAATAAATAGCATATAAAAAACAAATAAAATTAATATATTACAATAATAAAAAAGCTTCAGTTTTCAAATGATAAAAAGATCTAAGTAAATTGCAAAAGTAGAAAATCTAACTGTACAAAATTCTTATATATAGTGCATTTAACAACATTTTTGCAATATACAAAGTAAACTTTACAATTACCATTCAATCATTGCAAAATGTGAAATATAATTTATAAAATGTACTTTTTTCGTAGAGGGAAACCTAATACAACACAAAAGTTGTTACATAAATAGCATAAAACACTAAAAAAATGTCTAATACCATAGTTTTTAGTAATGTAAATCACCAAATATATTTAACAAAAGCTCCAGTTGTTAATAAACATATGATTCTTTCAGATATACCACTCATAACAATTAATAATTTAATGCCATCATACATGATATAACAAATAGTAAAAACTAGTAAATAGCCGTCATACTGATTTGTAATTAGCAGCACCAAAGAGACTCCCAATATATTTTCATAATTCTGAACTTGATTTATTTTATATTTTTGGTTTGAAAGGATGTTTACATTTTAAATTTACATTTTGTTCAGTTGAAGATAAAAATGAGTTGAGAATGTCTGCTGCAAGTCTCTGACACCTCTGATGACTGTATGAAGTCTTAGTTCAAAGTCTAAGACAGAAGAATGAGAAAAGGCATTTGAACAATTGAAACTAGGTTTATAATTGGTCAGGCATATGCTTTTCCCCTCATTTCAAAAGCATTGCCTTTGTTATATACATATGCATGATCGTCAACACGATTTTTGTTATTCCTCGTATGAGGTGGTTGTTGTGTTTTGTCTCTACGGTTGTAATGACCACGGCCTTCTCCATACCCGTGAGAGGGACCAGCAATTGATGGCCCTGGAGCAGGAGGAGCTGTTGGTCTTGGACCAGGATAGGGAGGTGGTGGCCCAGGAGGCGGTTGTGGCTGAGGTCGATGTCGCTAAAAATAAATTGAACATATACATACTCATTATTCTTTTACATTTTTCATCCAACTTGTACAGAAATGTAATAAAACTTATAATCAGCAACAGATTGTGACCGCAATTGTTATGAACTAAAAGGAAAAATTGTATGAAATGCTAACTTATAATTTACTTGTGGTAAGATAATAACTTAGTGCCAAATGTTTTAGAAATCCTGGTTCTTTCTGTGTTACTGTTTATGAAATGTTTCCAATACAGTGTGAAAATAAAAAATTCCTTCATAACAAGGTCCAAAAATTATAAATGTACCTGAAAGTATTTTTCCTACTTTATGTAGCTAATTAAAACTTATTAAACTTGCTATGGGATTATTTAGACACTTATTCAACAAAAAGTGTAAAACAAGGACAAAAGTATAAATAATAAGTAGTTTGCTTGTTAAACTTTTAATAGTTTTTTAAAAAAAATTCTATGGTTTTTATTTTCAATCAGTTCAAAAAAATACAAAAACTGTAAATTTTTTTTTTTTAAAGATAATTGCAAAGAAACCTTTCGATTACTTCAAACATAAATGTCAAATTAAATTGGGTTTCTTAAAATTTAAAACAAAAAGTGTTAAAAATAGACAGAAGTATAAATAAAAGTTTATTTTGTTAAACTTTTAATAGTTTTAAAAAAACTTTCTATCATTTTTACATTTGAAACTAGAATCTAGAAAAGAAAAAAAAAATATAGCAGTTCCGTAAAAGAATAGTTTAGAATAGTTAGAATAGCATAAGTTTTATAAATTGATCTATTTTTTACAAACTCTAACAATATAAAAAATTTTTTCCTTAGATTTAAAAAAAAAAGGAAACTAGCAGTGAATATTATTTAAACTTATTTACCTTTCTTCGAAGAGTATCAGCAGGATGTCGTAAAGTATCTTGAATCCTCAGGGCCGGAGCTCTGTTAGGATTACTACTCGGTGTGTGGACGGCACAGCACTTTATGAAAATGCCCATGAATATTAAAAATCCCACACCAGATAACAGTACACCCCACCAGCAACTCTGGAAAAGGGAATTAAAATTAAAAACAAATACAGTACATGCACACACATTTCTTATCAGAATTGGCAAGTTTTTTTTACAATCGACAGTATTATCAGTTTTAATCATGGTCTTAACTGCCATGTGAAAACCCAAAATTTTGGTGTAGAAAATAATTAATCGACATTATAAAACTGAAGTAACTGTAAATAAAAGTACAAATAAAATTAAAAAAGATCAATCAATAAAGTTCTTCAATGTTATTTTAACAATAAACCTTTTTGTTTTGGCAATTACTGTCAAAAATTCAAAATTTTGGTTTTAATTTATAATCTATTATAAATTTAGAACAATTAAAATAAAAATATGTAAAATTGCAATTTATCTAATATGTTAATTTTTTAAATTACTGATAATAACTTAATTAAACACACACTTTAATAACTGCCAAAAACATTTATATTTTTCGTTAGTTGTACTTTAGTTTACTTATCAGAGAATATATTATAATTATCATTCATAGTTAATATTGTAAGCATTAATAACGAATTTACATTTAAAGATTTATAATAAATATTGAGAATAAGACAACACTTACACTATTATGAGACTACTTTTGTTTTACTAAGGCTAAATAAAATCTGGCTCAACTGTGGCATAAAATTAAAATTCATACTTAGATTGATAATAATTAATAATTCATAGTTATTATCTGTGATATAAACAGAATAGTTATAATATATCAAATAATAATGATCCTAAATTATAAATATAACCATGTTTAAAAAAAAAAGAGGTAAAAGTTTAAATTATTTTGGCTTCATATTTTATACTCGATATATAATATTAATCATAATTATGATGCAAGTAATAATGTGTATGACTTAAACAGTAATTTGACTTCGAATAAAATATGTCCAGCGATAGAAAAGCCTGCCCTACATTTTTGACAGTTTTTGTCAGATTTTTACAGGTTTTTGATGTGACCTATCAAAAACCAGTTTTTGAGGTCAAAATCCCAACCTTGCTTCTAACACACACTAAAAAGTACTTATTTGAATAGAAAAAGGTCATAAGATGTATGCACGAAACTTTAAATATATATATATATATATATATTCTCCAGACAAATTAAAATTTTTCACAGTACATAAATTGCGTGACTTTCTATAAAATCAGTTTAAAAACATCTATAAAAATTTTAATGCTTGTTTCAAAGCTTTTTTCATTGCATTAATTTTAGGTTGGACAACAGAAATCTCCATAATAATCATTCCAGATCCACATCTGGCCACATGCGAATTCATGTTTTTAGAACATAGAAGACATATCAATAGCTCCCACTTTAAGGCTCGTTTAGTTTTGTCACATTTTTTTAGAATATAGAAGACTGCACATTGACCAGTCAAGAATTGTACTTCACACCACTAATACATGTACACAGTAAATTCCAATCAATATTGGGTAGTAAATATTAATTTGGAAAGATTAAAATCAATTTGGGCTAATTAATTTTAAGTAAATTATTATAGCATTCTAAGTAATATATATATATATATATTTTTTTTAGTCACTAATTTATGGGTCAGAAAAATGTCATGAAGTTAGATTTAAATAGTAACATATGTATGCCTTACTTGCCAAATCAATAACAACTTTCTAATTTTTTTTTTAAAATTTCAAAACAAAAAAGAGGCATTCATATGATCATCCAAAATTTGTTTGTGAGAAGTAAATCATTATAAGACAAACATAAACAGCATTGCTTTTGTAAAAATGAAATTTTTGCTTTCCTTTCAATATCTTTTTTATGCTTTTTGGAAATTTTTTTTAAAAATATCTTTTTATGAATGAATATCCAAACATAGGAATTTTAGATTATTAATAGTTATAAACAGTTTGAACATTTGGAGCTCATTTGTCCTTTTGGCTTAAAAAAATTATATAATTTTCTTCAACACACAAAATTCAAAAATCATAAGTAACAGACTTACTGTAACCCATTGCTTTATAGTTTTTAATGTCTTGTGATTGAAGAGAAGGTTTTTTAGCCTTGCAAGAGGACCTTCTGCATCAACAGCACGACACTTTTGAAAAACATCACAATATCCTTTAAAATCATTGCACGGAGAACCAGGCCTTAGCTTAATGCCACTTATATTCTTCATTTTGGAAATAACATACGTACTTCGGCATGTACTTTCTTTTCCTGTAACAAATTTAAAACAGTAGCAATTAAAAACAATATAAACTATAAAACTGCACCCAAAACAGGAAAATAATAAAAACTTCAAAAAAGCAGGATAAGCATTACTTTGAATTAAACATTCAAGAAAAATCTCACTCTAAAATTTATTTCTAAGCAAAACAACTTTTTCAACATATTTTTGAATATTTATTAAAAAATATATCAACTCCAAAACCACGTAAATATCAAACATAAATTTATTACAATATATTCTTTTGAGGAATCATTAGTCGATTAAATAAGAGTTAAAGTTGTTCAAATTATAAACCAGTTAAGTTTTATAAGGAATAAAAATATGCTCAGAAAAAGAAAATGTGTAAATATTTTATTTCCCAGACTTAAATTGATGATTCACAAGAAAGAATAAAAAAGAGTAGACTTGAATCACTAAAACAGGCACTTCCATACTTTTTATTATACAAGTAACAAATGTTTAGCCTTTAATTAATTTAACATATAATTATGTCTAGACAGAATGTGCAATTGAAAAAATAATAAAGAGCAACTATTTAAAATTGCAAAGGGATTCACTTTTGTACTATTGTCTTGGGTGGATGAGTGGGAGATAAAACAATAAACAGCTTTTTGCAGTAATTAAAATAATAATAATAATGGATGAAGCAGGAAGCTTTGTGCTTGAAATTGCAATAGCTATGTAACAGCATTCTTTATTTAGTAAACAAAAATAGTAAATCACAGTTGAATCAATAAATATGGTTATGGTTGCAGAACTGCATATGGTATGATTACTAAAAGAATTATTTTAAGAATGTTAATTAAATACATTTATTTAAGCAAACACATTATCCCTGCAGAATAGCTAAGAAAGTTTTAAGGTCAAAGGGTTGCTATCTATCAATCTAAATGGAGAAAGTGAATGTCCCGTTTCGACCAAATTCGTTTTTTCATTAACAGTTTTCAGACAAGCTGAAATGGAGTTGATTCTAAAAATGAACAGTCCTCATAGTAATGGAAAATATAAAATAACTCATGCTGTTCTCTAAGATTTGAAGTAGTTTTATTATAGATGTGAATTCTTAGAGAATCAGGAATTGAAGAGAACAAATGAATTTGAATTTTTTAATAATAGAATTGAGAAGGCACTTTAGGAAAAAAAATAACGCTAAAAAGTTACAAACCTGGATCCTGACAAGCTACTTCACACATTTGTTCAGGTTTAGCTTGGTGTTCTTCTGTTAGAAAGCATTCTTCCATATCATATCTTTGGCATATAGATCCAATACACTCCCCACTCCAGCAAACCTGCGTACCTTCATTACAAATTGTTCGATTAGGTTTCGATGAAGGTGCAGGACATTCAGCAGCAAAGCCACTGTTAACTTATTAAGGAAAACTTGAGAAAGACTAAGATCACTATAATCTAAATATCCAAACTAAAGCTATATAGAATCTTAAGACACTCAAGACAGGAGATACTGTGGTAATCTTGAAGAAGTGAAACACTGAATTAGCCAATCACAATAGAAACTCGAGACTAATTTCAGGGATGAGAGTAGTCAGAAAGTAAAAAAGAGGAAATCAAAATAAAAATANAGCAAAAAATATCAGTAATTCTTATTTTAGTCTGAAATATAAAACTGGTAATAAACATTTTTAATGCATTAAAAAGTATGCATTAAAAGTTAATGCATTTAAAAGAAGTGTGTGGCAGCCCAAGGGGACTACTTTGAAGGGGATTTGTATTAAATAATTATATCATAATAAACGTTTATTTTATGAACAAAAGTGGGATACTTTTTGATCACACCTCGTATATCTTTAACTTACATGAAAATAGGGATTTAAGAAAATTTTCTTTAATGTTAAGTTATATTTAAAAAAATTATAAAAATAAATATTTAATTATTCTATACATGAGACAAAAACGCAAATTTCAGAAAAGTATCAATATAAATATCTAGAACTACAAAACTAAGATATCAGCTCGAACTAAAAATAAAATTAATAATACTTAAACTAAGGGCTGAAAAAAAGAAAGAAAAAAACTAGGGAGACCGAAAAAGACTTAAATCTAATTTCTTATATATTTAGTTCTTTTTCTTCAAAGTTAAGATATAAATAAAATATATATATTTTTTTAAAGAAATTTGTAAAGCATACACCAGTTACAAAACTATACACTTGAATTCTTGTTTTTTAGCAACTCAACATGTGGCATAAAATTATTTTTCCTGTTAACAAATGCAAAAAGAAATTTCAGTGAAATAAGTGGAAAAGTTATGAAAAGGATACTCGCAGCGAGATTCTTTGGTGCAATCAGACTCAGCTTTACACAATCTGCCTTTGCTGATGTAATTGCAACTGAAATCACAACATGGACCACGACTAGGACTAGAAGAAAGAGATAATTTTTTTTAATTAAAAATATTGATTAAAATATTTTTTTTAATTAAAATATCACAAACATGCTATAAATAAAACACAATTAATATAATTCAAATCAATTCCACTACAGAGTGGCCACTAACACTCAGAAAATTAAATTCCCTGATCCTACCAAATTTCTCTGAATTTTGCAAGCCTGGTAAGCATTTGATTATAAATTTTATAGTTGTGTGCTTTATTCTCCTGCAAAAAATATATTACAGAATGTAATTCAATTTAGTTTTTCTTACAATTTCGTTTTGCACTACTTGCAATTCGTAAAAAAAAAAAAAGAGTCATAAAAAAATTATAATAAGACCAATTTAAAATAATAATAATAATGGACTATCAGGTACAATAAACTTCAATTAATCCATTTTCTCTGACTTTTTGCATATTTACCTGCTAGTTAAATTACCTGCTATTTCCCTAATTTTTACAAATTGATAAAATTCCTCAACTTTTTCCCTTTTTCTGGGGCTACCTTGTCTAAAAGTTGTTTAATACATATTATTATAGCTGCAAACAAAAAAAAAAAAAAAAAAAAAAAAAAAAAAAAGAACACAAAGCATGACAAAATTAGGGGTAATTGTGACTTAAAGTGAAAAACCCTGAATATTTTATGTGCAAAAAATCAATATCAAGATATCAATTTATATACTGGCTTCATATTTGGTATAATTTTTTTAATTAACTTTTATTATTTAATTACCTACTAATGAAGAATATCAAACCTTTAAATTAACTAGTAATTAAAAAAAAAAATTCTTACAAGATTGCGATATTGGATTGGGCGAATATGAATCACAATATAGCGTTTTAAAATCACGTGAATATAAATTGGGATATTGGATTAAAAACAAGAAAAAGCTAATTGCAATATTGAATTTATAAATTGCGTGAATATGAAAATCGATGTTTCATATTATAATCACGCGAATATGAATCGTGACATTCGATTTTAAACTTGAATGAACACGAATAGCGATGCTAGGGTTTAAAAAATATGTGAACACAAATCGGGGTGTACATTTTTTAAATCGAGTGAATACGAATAGCAACGCTTAATATTTAGATCAAGTAAATACGAAAATCTATGTTTGATATTGAAATCCCGTGAATAAGAATCACGATACCAGCAGATTCCAGCGTAGTTTCAAATAATCGAAAACGCGAAAATCCACCAAATCAAAGTGGTAGAAGTATCATATGTAGATAAACGTCTCATTAGCAGGATTCAACAAAAGTTTCAAAATTTCGTCACATTATAAGTTTTTAAATTAAGTCCATAAACTAATGGTTTTCAGATGAGTAGAATTCTGCGAATATTCAAGGTTAAATCCATGGCCTGCTTCTAATTTTAAGACCAGTCCGAGCTGAAAGAAAATCAGTATAAAAAGTAAAAAAGGAGCTAGAATATCGAAAAATCAGAATGACGTAAAATCGCATTTTTGAAAAAAGGCTTTAAATAGGAACAAATAGATTTAATCGTAACAGATAGCAGCTATCATATTATTGTAAATTAAAAAAGTACAAAAAAATTAAAATTTTCTTCAAATTAACAGAATTAATAACGTTATTATGAAATAAAAATATTTTTTAATTAAAAGAACTGTACCTCAATAATGTTTTGTTTCTTCATAAAAATAATGATTTTTTATATTTTAAGAGCTAGTTTATTTTTCCATAAATGCAACACTAGCAGTATGTAAAGAAAAGTATGTAACTGAAAATGAATTTCAATCTTAACTGTTAAGTTTTAAGAAAGATAGAAATAAAAGTTGCACAAACCTGCATTTGTGAGGTGCTCTTAAATGACAAGGAATAGCAGGTTCACCGCGATTTAAAAATTTTCCTACTTCTTTAGGATAACAACATTTTTCTGTACATTCTTTCTCATCATAACCACAATCACATTCTTCTCCATCTTCAACAATTTTATTACCACAGAAAGCACCATCATCTTCTGCAAAAATAATAAGCATATATATTAATAATTTTTTTTAAATTTCCAGTGAAAGGTCATTTTTTATAAACAATAAGTCTTAAATACCAGTTGAAAAGCAACTAAACAAAACAAATCTAGAAAAATATCTTCAATATGCACTTACTTTCGAAACAGTTCTCCTTCCCTTCATTGCTAAATACGGCTCTTAACACAGCACTAATGTTATGTATACTGCATTCAGAAAACTTATTATTATGCGGTCTGTCACCAGAGGTAGCACTGGCATACATAATGTAGTTTCCTTTAGCACCACCTGGTCTACATTCTTTTGGATAATCATGCTTAAAGAAAAAAAAAGTATAATATAAAATATTAGACAGTATTTCTAATTTATCAACTAATTATAAATTACGAGCACAGCCAAATAATATATTTTTTAGATTTTACAGCTAATGAACTAAAGAAGACCGAAATAAATAATTCATTTTTATTTACTTAAAGTAATAAATTTTTGAAATATATAAAATGATTTTTCTTTTGAATTTATGTGCATTGAAAGTTTAAGAATTTTGTTCAACTTAAAAAATGTCGACTTAATGAAACACAGTTCAAAATTTATTTCTCATAATTTTTTTGGACTCAATATTGACACAAAACTTAGTTCAGAGAAGAACACGATAGCCTTCCCATATAGCTAACAGATATATACAGATGCCCACTTTTAAAATTTTTGAGCACTTGAAACATGTAGATTGTTATTTCCAATTTGTATATTTTTGAAGCGAATGAAATTTTTAATCAAGTAATCTTTTATTGGAATTATTTATTTAACATACATACATTATCCAAAAGAAAAAAATTCTTGGCAGAGAAATTTGCAAACGAATTAGCTCATGTTCTGTGACAATTAAAATAGATCAAAGTTTAATTCAAGATTTATTAACAAAATTATGCAAAAATGTTAGAAGTATAGTCAAACAGTATAGTGAACACGGTTTATAGTGAACTCCCGGATATAGTGAACGAAATATTCGGTCCTGTGCTTTGCTATACACGTATAATGTTATTTTTTGTGGATATAGTGAACCAAAAAAGTGAGGAAGTTGGATATAATGAACTTTTTTCTGTCTCCGACTGATTTTTTTCATTTTTTTTTTTTTGTAAAAATTTTGAAATTTCTACTTCAAAATAAATAAAACACATCTACCAATGTTTAAAACCATCTATAGAGGGGAATGTAGCGATAAGCATTTTTTCTTGTTTGCTTCTTTTATTTCACTTTCCAATCCCTAAACAAATCAAGCAGATGTTTCCAACTCAGGCAGATGATGCACCTGTAAGGTGTCAGTGGGATCAATATGCATTTTCTGTCAGAGTTAATGAGTAATTATTCGTTATTGGTCAAAGGGTTGGACACTAATATGTGCCGATATGGCCCTCATTTCAACTCCTTTTTGCTCTCAGTTCAGTTAAAAAAAAGTCTGCAAACAAGTGTCTCAAATTTAACTATGGACACCAGTAAACGTAAAACGTTCTCCATTGATGATAAAATGGGCATAGTCAGAAATATTTAAAATGGACGCAATCAAGTTGATATTTGAAGGGAATATAAACTATTCAAATCTGCAGTTCGTAACATATGGAAAAATAGACAATAATTTCTGCTCATGAAAAAAATTTAGAAGGCAGAAAAAAGTTGAGAAAAGCAGATCACAAGGATGTTGAAGAAGAATTGCTGAAGTGGTTCACCATTAGAAGAAGCCGCAATCTTCCAGTATCTGGACAAATGTCGGTGAATGTATTAAGCGATTTTATGAGACTAATTTTATGTGCTCGAATGGCAGGTTAGACAGGTTTAAAAAGCGGAATAACAGAAATTAAGGAAAAATTATCTGAGAGTCAGGAAGAGTTTCCAGATCTGATGTTAAGGATTGCTCATCAGCTAAAAATTACTAATTTTTTTTTTGTTGGACGCAAGACGAATGAATATAAATTGGGATATTGGATTAAAAACAAGAAAAAGCTAATTGCAATATTGAATTTATAAATTGCGTGAATATGAAAATCGATGTTTCATATTATAATCACGCGAATATGAATCGTGACATTCGATTTTAAACTTGAATGAACACGAATAGCGATGCTAGGGTTTAAAAAATATGTGAACACAAATCGGGGTGTACATTTTTTAAATCGAGTGAATACGAATAGNTACTAATTTTTTTTGCACGCAAGACGAAGAATAATGAAAAATAACACATTTTTTGCTACTACATAATATTTTCAGTCAATTATTTGAATAATGTATAATAAAAGGGAGGAGTTTGGGAACCATTAGTTAAATTGCCTGAGTAACGGATATAGTGAACTCCCGGTTATAGTGAACAAAAATTTCGGTCCCTTGAAGGTTCACTATAGCGGGGTTTCACTGTATTAACATACAGCAATGTTACAAATACTTAAATATATAAACAAAAACATAATAAAATACACATATCCAAGTTAGAGGCAAAAAATAAATAATATATGCTTTAAAATAACTCTTTCGTGATTTCAGAACTGACAAATGAATAGATTGCTAAAATAAGTAAAAATTAACTTATAAAAACCTAAAAACTTTGTAACCTCTCAAGGAAATTTCATTAATTTAGACACTGCAATGCAAAATAAATTCATCAGAATATTAATAAAATAATAACATCTAGGCAATATTATTTACACTATAAAAATGGCATGACATCTATAGTATTGCGATGGAGAGAAATAGAATACTTACAGGAGATCCAAAATTGTGACCAATTTCATGTGCTAGTGTTAATTCAGACACCTTCGGTGGTACACGGCTATTGTAGTTTACAAATGTGATAACACCTGTATTCAAACTTCTTTTTGTTTGAACTTGTCGGCCAGCAATATTTTCAGTGTAAGATTTGTATTTCTCGCAAATACCACCTGAAGCGCCTAGAAAAATTAGCATCAGTTAACAGTTTTCAAGAAATAATCAGAGATGCCATCATGTCCTACTTACAGGGCAAAATATTTCTAATCATAGTAAATTTAGAATACTTTCTATTTAATTAATTCGATTTAAAGTTATTTTGTTCACCATCACATATAAATAATTTGGAAGTTCATATAACATGCAACTTTGCAGCTGTCATCTAATGTCCAGCTTTTTAAAATGTCGGCAAACTTAAAAACAGAATTTAGTTTTTCATGAAATTTTACAAACTTTTTCACAGAATATAGAACAGTTGATATAACAGCACAATTAATCATTTTAAACAAGAAATATAAAATATTTTTAAATGGACTTTAATAATAATTAACAAATAAACTATAAAAACATTAATACTTGAAGACCTCCAATGAGTAAACTCGAAATGGAAACAAACTTATTGCTTTGAGTAAAATATTGTAACAATATTAGAATTATTTTGTCGTAATGGTATGTATATGATAAATTAATGAATAGACACTTCTTAATATTTCACTTCATCAAGAAATTGCACATTAACTAACTTTTTTTAATAATAAAAAATTATATCCATTTATTATAAATGTTACAAATCCATTTAATCTCAGAGATTAATGAATTTATATTTTATTAAACCTAGTGCAGTAAAAAATGTTTATATTTCAAAAACTTTAATTTAAAAGAATTTTGTTCAATAAGTTTATATTCATAATAGCAGTTAGCACCTTCGATTAGAAAATGAACACTAAGTGTTTTCCTCTTTTAACACGTTTCATGTAACGTGTTTCTAACATGTTTCAGCACTTGATCATGTGATTGGATATACTCAATTCATAACACCGCATTTGTAAAGAATATAAAAAACCTCCCATATTTTTTCATGTTCCTAATTTATTTTTCAGATTCATTCTGATTCTTTAAGTTAGAGGAAATTTTAGAGTTTTCATGTTTCTCCTGAGCTGTATAAGCCCTGAAAATTTATTATAACTTGCACATAGGTAAATTTTCTAGACTGTTAAATAAATTAATAATTGCTGTACACAAACATGCTTCTAAACACGTTGTTTAAAAAGGCATTTTATTTCAGCTTTATTAAACTAAAATTTTCAAACATTGAAAACTAGCAAACTCATAGTTAAATTTAATAGGGCTTTAATAAAGTCTCATGGTTTCAAACTTAATAGTTTCATAAAATTTAAGAATTTTTAATATGTTTATGCAATATCATAAATACCTACTAAGTTTTCAAAAAACTTATTTCTAAAATCAGCTTGATCCATAGTTTTATTTTTTAAATTTGTATTCAAAAAATGCTTTTGACTATGAAGGAAAAGAAAAAACAGTAATAAATAATACTAATCATTCAATCAACTTGTTATAAATGCTTATAAGTAATTTGATTATCTGAATACTTGATTATCTAAATTAAATCCAGACTCAATTGATAACTATGTTTAGAACTTAACTATATTTAAATTAAAATGTAAAATATTATGAATGTTTACATAAAGTTTTTAAATTTGAGTACCTGAAGCAGAGGCAACCCAAGCTAATCCTAGAGTTCCTCCAGAAAAATCACGGTATGTAAAAATATAGGCTAAGCAGAAGTCATCGTGATTAAACTGAGAGTTCAAATTCAAAAAATTCGAGACATCTATGTTTGGTGAACAAAAAGGATTGGCACGTTTACTCCTTGGTTCACAAACTCGTGTGTCATTGATCTAAAACAAAATACAGTAAATTCTCATTTAAAAGATACAAAAGTAAGTTGCGTGAAGAATAACAATGAATTATTTGACAAACCTTTAGAATTAACTTCATTTCATAAAAACAATAAAAATAATTAAAAACTAGCAAAATATCAGTTTTTAAGCTAAAATGAAAGATGTTAAGGAAAAAAAAGTACATTGCATCTGTGAATGGCCCGTGTTACAATTTGCAAGATTTTATAACAAAGTTGTAATGATATTCCTTAGTACTCGAAATTCCAAACACAGATTCCTTCAATTTGGTTATTGTAATCCATTAATTAGAAAAGCACAAATTTTAAGCTCACATACGTTAGTTACAATTTGACATTTCAATACAGCTTACTACAGATGAGCTGTCTTTTTTTATGGGTGGTCTGCATGAATCGCAGATCACAATAAGCAAGAATTGTAGGTGTGTCATTGTTCAGCTTTCATTTTATGCAGATTATATAAATTGTTAACGCAGATGCAAGAAAAATAACTTGTGCATCTACCTGCTTAATATTCATAGACCAATTTAATTTTTTCATGTTATAGAAACTGGTAGAGTAAAAGTCTGAACAAGAACTTTAAAGTAACTTAATAGTAACAATCACAAGTGAAAATTCCTTTCACTGGGGGATATAATCATAAGTATTGAGAATAGTATATAAAAGGAATAAGCACACAAAAATTAGATGAACATGGCTAACAGCAGTTAAAACGATAAGAGAGGAACAAAAATAAAAATGTATTCTGATGAATTACTAAAATTTCCCAACAACCAGACTTATGCTCTAAATAATGGTGACAAAGAACTGAATCATAAAACTATTGATATTATTAATTTTGATATAAACAGGGATGACATTGGCCAAAAGGCAAAAAAGCTGAATTTTCACGCAAGTAAATCTTACATGCGTGTAATTGCTTAATAATAAATTCCAGATAACTATGTGTTGATATAAAATTGTGTACTAATTTATTAATACATGAATACATACATATATGAATATATAATCAGTGAAGACATTTACGCGCTATAGCGCGTAAAATACGCAAAAAATTGAAATCGGACGCAAAAAAATGATCGCTACGCGTCCCGCGGGACGCGTAAATTTTTGAAGAAAGTTTATAAATTTCCCGACTTTTTAATCTTTGATATCGAAACATTTTAATAAAATCGAAAAATTGGGACGCAAAAAATAAATCGGTATGCATCCTCGGTATAAAAAAAAAAAAAAACCNTTTCTAAATCGTGTGAATACAAATCCAAAGCCTAATTTTTAAATCATGTATAATTACAAAAATCGATGTTTGATACTACAACCGCATGTTGGATTTTAAACTTGCGTGAATACGAATTGCTACATAGGATTTTAAAAACGCGTAAATATGAATCGCGATATTAGATTTTTAAATCTCGCAAATGAGAATTGCAATGTTGAAATCACACGAATAAGAATCGCAATGCACAACTTTTAAAACAAGTAATTAAAAAGAATTAATGTTTGATAGTAAAATGCAGTGACGTCTGAATTACGAAAATATGAGCTATCTGGTAAAATGCGGAAAATCTTATTTTCTGTGCATAAAAGCGGAGAAAATAGCTAAAATAATTAAAAATGAGGAAGGGTTGGCAACTACGTAGTTTGAATTTTCTGTTTATTTTTGAAAATCGGAAATAAATATAATTATTTTATTTCAACAGCTGAATTTTCAGAAAAAACGGAATATTTATTTAAAAAAAAAAAAACTGAAACTTATAGAGAATTGGAGTTTTTGATAAAAAGGCTGAAATTCGAGAGACAAAAGCCAAAAAGGCGGAAATCCACTAAAAAATCTCATCCCTGTAAAAGTTATTTTCAAAAAAGAATAACTAATTTCGTTAAAAGTTAATTATAAGATAACAAACTGTGTGTAAGTTAACTATATACCTGTGTAATCTCTTAAAATTATGCATATTTTAATCTTTTTCTTGAATGGTACTGTTTAGGATGGTTTAGAAAAAAAAAAATTCTTTTAATGAACAACCAATTTGATATCTCGAAAAAGTTGCCATCTCTTATTATCGGTCACTATGGGACTGTTGCTCAGAGGTTTTAGTGCATTTTAGACTAATAATAATGGTTTGGAGTTATCAGAGTTACCCTATAGTTGAATATACACACAGTAGAAAATTTTATTAAAACAAGTAATAACAAAAAATTTAAATTTTTTTTTTTTGATAATTACCTTTATCCTTTGAACTACAAATTTAATTCCACGAAAACCATCAAAGTCAGTGTTTTCATATATATGATTTACAGCTTTAATATGTTGAGAAACTAAAGAAGTTATTTCTTCTCTTATATTTGTTTCTGATAGTTCATAGTTTTTTATGTGGTCCCATAAAAAAGTGTCAGTTTGTATGTAAAGAGAACAGGCTCGTTTCTCAGAGTTGATCTCTTTCATGGAATAGGGATTATATTGTTGTGCATCTCTTGTATAAATATTATGATAGTCTCTCACAAGTGGCGAGCTTCGTTTTGTTCGAACAATATTCTGAAATAAAAAAATAAATCAAGATTAAAATTCAGATTAATTATACAGATTATTTAATTTTTTTAAAACCAAAAAGGTATTAATAAAAAATCCTTTTCAACGTATCATAAATTACATGTAGAACTAAACATTTACATCATTAAAATGAAAAGAATTAAAAAATAACACTGGATTATGTAAAACATAACCCTATAGGTCAGACACATTGCTTACTCGTGAAACAAATAAAAATTGTTTGGACAACAACATCTATATTTACTTCAATTCCATTTTTTTATATTATGGGATAGATCTTAAATTGCAAATGATTACATTAAACATTATACACTAATTTTGAACAAGAATTGGAATCCTATATCAAGAATTAGGACAAAATAGTCCGCGTTAAGAGCGTTTTGTGTGAAACCAACCACATTACACTTAGCCCTTGAAAAGATTAGAAATTAATATTTTGCTAAAGAATAATTTTTTAATTATGTTAGAATTTATGCTTTATTTCATATTCAGAATTACTTGAAAAACAGTTTTAAAAAAACTATTAATAATAATAATAATAAAACAACTAAGTTGGTTTAGTAGTCAAAGCAAAGAATATATAAGTGAGACGACCAGCTCTCATAGGCCCCCGTGTAAACCTATTTCGGAGGCACGGGTCCATCGAGGTGTGGAAGTATTGCTGGGAAAACAACCTGCCTCCTAACACAGGGTTTCTCCATCCTTAGCTCGTAAGAAACCCCATTATCCTCCGCTCCACAAAAAAAAACAACACATTTCTCCTAGTCTCTTCCCACTCATGTAAACAGCTAATGAAAAGTTACTCAAAACCCTCTTTACAGACTTATATGGTTTTGAAAAAGGTTAACTTATTAAACAAGGAAAATATTTACTTGTGACGAATTCATTGAAAAATAAATATAATTTATTATTTTAACATAGGTGTGAGGCGTAACTACCATTACGAAAATTAAAAACATCAAATCAATGGTACATAAGACAAGCTAACTTGATTCAATCACGAGGTACCTTTTGATAGATAAAGGTTGGCATGATCGATAACTCCGCCCCCACATTGGTGACCCAGACGCGATTTGAACACGCAGTAACGCCCACTTCGCAAAAATCTTGACAGTAACGCCTACTTCGTTGGATGATCCACATTGAACAGATGACTTGCTACTAGTGACTGCGACATAATCTATCTCCTCAAGCTGTTGTTACTCAGTCTCGTCTCCATTAAACTCAATGGCTACCTGCATACATTCGACTGCTAATGGCAACACAGGAGCGTCTACGACTGTGAAGTTAATACACCTCTCACATTCAGCACTCAAAAACCCGGTGACCTTAAAACCAGCTCTCCTGGTCATTCACAAGTACAGCAACTAGTGGTATCCGTTCATTGAATTCTATCCCTGATAAAATTCTGGTGGGGGCAGTATTGAGGTGTTACTACCATTATGAAAATTAAAAACATCAAATCACTGGTATATAAGACAAGCTAACTTGATTCAATCACGAGGTACCTTTTGATAGATGAAGGTTGGCATGATCGATAACTCCGCCCCCACAGGTGTATAATTTAAATAGATATTGGACAGTCACTTTAAAGATAGCGAAAAATTTGTTGTTAAACAAGTTTAGAGACGCTATGATGGATGAAAGATGTGTGCATACCTCGGCTCAAAAACCTTTGGCGCTTTTCTTGTCATACAGAAGGACCTAGCTGGTCCCAGCTATGTATTGAAGTAGCTAGACTTCTTCTAACATTATATATTCTTCGGTCAAAGGGCCGAAATATAACAGGATTTTTTTTTTTAGGTAGGATTTACTTTGCATGATATGTATAGATCAATAAACAAAGAACAAATTTAAAATTAACACTAAAAATAAATTAACAAACATTGATAACAATGAACCAAAAAGTTGTAGTTTCATAAAAACTGAAAAACATAGTTGCTTCACATTTAATACAGACCTCAAAAAATTGCTTTTTATCGAACTCCTTTTTATTTACAGTCTTTTCTGGAACTGCAGAACTACTTATATCTTGCATCCACTGTAGAACTTTACCAGTTCCAGCACAACCACCAACATTGTCTTCTCTTTTTGATTCATATGGATCATTTACATCATTGTCTGAATATATAATAGAATGATATGGCTGATCTTTCAGACCATATTTATGAGTTCTTTCTATGAAATATGTATCATTATCTGTATGAACTTTTCCTTCAAAAATACCATTGCGTATAGAGCCATACACATGGGATCCATGTTCATCTGATAAAGGAAAAGTAAGTGTATTTAGAGCCTTATATTATTCACATTAATAAAAAGGGAAATTTATATTTCACAATTGAAAAACAACATATTAACAAGTCAATACAATATTATAATAAATTTTTATATTACAAAACAAAATCAATATATTCAATATACTAAAAATTTTTCTTATATACAGGGTATCTGCTACATTCTGGATTTTCAAATTCATGACTTTCCATGGCTAATTCCATGACTTAACAAAGTTACTATTTTCTCCGACAAAAACAGAATAATAAATTTAAAAAGCATTATAATAATATTAATTAAAATGATAGGTATAACCAAAATTGTTACACTCTACATCTTCATATTTATAGATTTTAAATTTTAAAAAAAAAACAGAGTAAAGAAAGAGTTGAAGCAATAAAATAGCTGAGTAAATAATTTGTTTTCTTCTTCTGCAGAATTACATTCTAAATATACTTTTCCTGTTCATCAGAAAGGAAAGAAATACTCCTGATTTTTCTGTTCTCATTTCAGAGTAAAAAAAAAATTGCCAATGACTGGCTTGCTTCAGCTAGAATTTCAAATTGATAAAATAAAAAAGATAAAAAAAATAATAATTCTGAAGTCACAGAAATTTAAAAGATACTTCATTCTAGAAATTACAATTTTTCCTTCATTTTTTTGAAAGAACACCATAGTTTTTAAAGAACATGATAAAAACTTTTTATATTTTAATAAAATATGACTTTGAGTGTTGATTTTGTAACAAATTCGGATATTCGGAACACCGTAAAATTGGGGAGAGGGAGTTAAATTCCATTTTAAAAATTAGATTTTTCGGTGACCTAAACCCACGACTTTTCATGATTTTTTTAAAAAAAAAAAAAAAGTTTAAATCATGACATTTTATGACAGATTTTGTTCAATACGGAAATTCATGACTTTCCAGGTGTGCAGATACCCTGTATATGAATAATACCAGAAATTAAAATGAATAATTTGAACTTTTCAGCTTTATTATATACACCTTATATAATCCTGTGACGTAATTATATCAGGGGTCTGTGTAGGTTTTTCTGAAAGGTACCTATTTTGTGAAAATTTAGACATAATTTGTGAAAAATTAAAAATTATGTTACAAAATCAATACAAAAACATGGTAAAAATATAGATTTATTGTTTCTTAAGGGGACAATGGACGCTCAAAACCAAAAATTTTAATTTTCCTACTTGCCATATGAAATTTTTATTGAATGTTGGGTAAGCTCAATAGAAGCCTGTGTATAATTTTTTTTAAGAAAACATTAATTATTTTTCAAGTTACAGCTAAAAGTATATTTTTAATTAACGATAAATTAGCAATACATAAAATGTCCCTTGCGCATCAGTTTTGCTTTTTTCAAAATTATTTTTGTACAAAAAAGGAGGTTATAAGTACTTAAATGTATTTAACTTGTTTCAGGTACAATATAGAGCAATAATGTGTATCAAAAGTTTTTTTACACATCGCTCTTAAATTTTCATCAAAAAATTACTATTCATAAACTTTCGTTTAAATATTAGCAACACAAATTTTTGTGCAATGCTAACTAATTGAAGTTCTATCTTTAGAACAAACATCAAACAATCCCTGAAAAAAATTTCAGTGCAATAGAGCAAAAATTGATGCGCAAGGAACTTTTCGAAGATAGAAAATCGTCCAAAAATCTTACTCTGAGAAGAATCCATATTTTTCAATGCAAATGACTTACAACATACAAATTGAAACTCTTATAACTTATACAATTTTAAGAAAAAGTATTTTGTGAAACTACCGTTTTTCCTTAAGTTGAATTTGTGAAACTACCGTTTCACCTAAAATTGAATTTGTGAAGGTACCGCTAAACGGTAGTAAATTCGGCCTGGACAGACCCCTGTATATGATGATATATTCAAAAATAAAATTGTTAAAACCACCAATTCATTATATACAATAAACTCACACTAAAGTTCAAGATTAATCACACTCTTAATTTTGCTAAACTATAAATTTACTAAACTTTCTATGAAAATACAAATATTCATAGAAAGTAAAAGGAACAAAATTTAGGTCATATGAAGAATGTTTTATTTACAATCAATCATCTGTCAAGTGTCTGAATAATTTATGCTTGACTAAACTTGATCGATGACTGAATTTTTTTTAACCCAGCTGTGTTAAATACAGGAGTCAAATTGAGAGAAAGGAATTTTTAGTGGGTAAGAGGAATTGAGAGCATTTAATGCATCATTTCAGTTTGAGGGGTCTCATAACTTTAGTGTTCCAGATAAGAAGGTCAAAGGACACCACTGTTCAAAGTATTTCACATGAGCAGTATCATTTCTTTCCTTTCTTTTCAAAGATTGATTCTTTAGTAGTGAAATAGCTTAACAATATTTTTAATTATAGATGGCAAAAAATTTACATGTTTTAAAAAATGGTGGAAAGTTGCTTCTTTTTATTTTTAATTTAAAGCAGAAATAGTTTTGATTTTTATTTTTTAAACATTGTTTATTTATAGAAGATTCTCAGGGAAATAAAAATAAGTTCTTAGTGAAAATTGAGACAAAAAATATCTATTTAAGAAAATGTAAAAATAAACTAGTAAAAGAAAGAGAAAAAAACTGACTTACCTATTAGATGACCTTCATAAATGTGAGAGGTATCAAAATTCTTATCTTCACCATCAGGTGTCTCAACAATGAGATTTTTTGAAAAAACTGAAGTGTCTCGCTTTAGACGAATATTAAAATGTCTGCAAGAAAATTCACAAAGCAAGAAATTAATAATAAAATAAACTATTTAACAATGAATTAAATGAAATCAATATAATGATACTTATGGCTCGGTAATATATAATATAAAATATTAATGGATCTCAATAAAGAAAAGGTGTGTTTATTCTATTACAATTTAAACATAAACATAATATATACAGTAGTCTCCACCTAATGTGATATCGTTTCATGTCATAAAATGCTTATTATAATCGAAATCACTCAGTCGATTTTTTTCCTATTCATTTCTATGTTAAAATCATTGCTTTCTGTGACCAATACATCATTTAATATTATCAGTTTTTTTAATTATATTTTTTTAAATTTTTCTATTATTTTACTTTTTATCTGTTTATTCAGTAGGAATCTTTTATTTTCTTTCCCTGTGCTAATGTATTTGAATTTCACACAATTTTTTAAGTTAGGATACAAATTCTTTCACTGCTACTATAACTGCTGGAGAACAGGGGTTGGCTGATTGTGGGTTAATTAAAACAAAAATATTTAGGGTGAATGGTCCCATTAAAGCATTGTACAATTTCAAGAAGGCATTTGAAATGTGTGTGTTTAAGAAAAACAAACAAATATTTAAAAAAAAAAAAAACTTATGTTGTTGATTATTCTTATAATCAGATTTTTTTTTCCAGAAATATTTTATTTTAATTTATTGAATTCACCAAGTAGAGTTAACACGTTTTGAACAGTTGGGTTATAAAAAGTTTATTATCTTTTTCTTTCTTGACAATTTGATAATTCTAAAGTATAATTGTTTTCGTAGTTTCTAAAGCTGTTAATTGTATACAGATGAGTAAGTGGGTGAATTTATTTGACTAACAGTTCCATTAGGCAAATGTTTTATTTTGCAGATTATTCAAATAGTTAAGGTTTTTGTTAGAAGCCACAGAGAACACTGGAGAAAATATAATACTGACACCATGGGCTCAAAGGTTGAGATGTATAAGATGGGAAAAAACTTGATCAAATAACAAATTTTACTCTTTTAGTCTAAATTTCTATTTTATTAAAAGAAATAAAATAGGAAAATAATTACCTTTTATGTGCATGAAAATTTAGATGAACATATGATTTTGATCCCACTGATCTCTTGGCACGAAGGTGATGATCATGAACTTTCTTTATATTATAAGTTAAAGGTTCATAATACTGTATATATTCATTTAATTTTTGAGCTGAAAAAAATAAAAACAAAGAATTAAGTGCTAAAATAAAAATTCAATAATAAAAAAGCATTTATGTAATAAAAACTTATATACACAATAAATACTTGAGTGATATTTATGAATACTATTTGAAAATATGAAAAGACCGATTCATATTTACATATGAATTTTTTGGAGTACAAAAAACTATACTGTACAACAAAAAATTAAAGCAAACATAGCCTACCACAATTAAGTCACATTGTTAGAAACTTCAATAAAAAATATCAAGAAAATATGAAAATATAAAAAGTAAAAATCAATATAGCATAGATCACAAAACTCTGAAATTTCTTATTACAAAATGTAGTTAAATAAAATTATAATTTTATTAAATAACTATAGTTTTTTTAAATTTTTTTATCAGTACTTCTGATTATTTTTCTAGTAACAGAAAATGAATAGCTGCAAAAAGTTCAATTTAGAAATTATATAGAGATAATGTCCAAATTTAAATATAACTATGGCCAAATTTTTATTATTATTATTATATTTTTGTTTTTTAATATTCCACTTGAGATAATGAATTACTATATAAAAATGTGCTACATGAAACACAAATGTGCATTGGCTTCAAGATTGTTTTAAGAACTTACAAGGTCACTCAAAATTATTTTTAAACTAGGTGTGCAATAACAAAAACACTTGAAATTAATAAGGTACTTCTGTCTGAAACAACAGATTTTATTTTATATTTTAGAACCGTCGTTGAACAGCCGACCCCATTTTATGGGTTTACGACTACTAATGTTCAACTTCGTAGTCTTGTAATTTTGAATCCATTCCAGAAGACAGAGGAACTCCTGGATCAAGTATTGGGAGAAATTTGCTTTTATGGAGGGCTTTATGATGGTACTAACCTGAATTTGCATTACATGGAGAAGAAAGACTCCCACGGTTAGTTTCACGNCGTGTGGTCACTTTATACTAACCTGAATTTGCATTACATGGAGAAGAAAGACTCCCACGGTTAGTTTCACGGCAAGGGGACTCTAACCCATGGTCCGTCTACCACTGAGGATGTTTCACGTCAGCACTGTGATTGGTGCAAGCGGGATGCGGAATTTGTATCAATAGGGATTCGAACCTGGTTTGCCTCATTAGAAGGCAAACGTCCATCCCCTGAGCCATCGTGCAACAACAGATTAAATTAATAAAGTATCTTCGTCTCAAGGTTTGCCAAACTGGGCCTAGCTTAAAAAAAAAACCCTTCTAGATTTCTTTTTGGGTGAGCCCATTTGAAAAGACCCATTTTTTTAAGGCATGTCCCCCCCCCCAAAAAAATTACTATACTAGATCAATAAGTTTTACTTCAAAAGCAAAATATTTGCAAATTTTAATTATATAATGCCAAATAATTGTAAATTATTTTCATTTAAATTAAGACTTCCAAACAATGGAAGATAAATTAACTCTCTCTCTATATATATTATAAATTGAAATACATTCAACTTGTTTTGTGAGCATGAATCTCAATCAGAATGGAAAAATTAAGTTAAGTGCTCAACTTTTGATATAAAAATTTCCTTTTTTTTTAAATATCTAGACGGACTGCAGAGTGATTTAAATTATAATTAAATCAATTTACTTTTATTATGAAAGATTTCAGTTTTTTAGGAAATAAATTATTTACGTAGCATGAACAGGCTATTGAATTTTGAATTATAATAATTTTTCAATGCTGTCAGGAAATTCCTATTGGTCAGAAAATTGCATAGTATGGTTCCTTAATTAACAAATATTTATTTTTCTTTGGTCATTATCAACATAAAATAACAAAAATAATAATTCATAAAAAATTTTTTTATCCTGAAATTATCTTTAGATAAACAAATTTTATAATCCGATGCTAAAATTTTTCAATCTACTCAATAAATTCTCAAGGTATGGAGAAATATGCAAAGAGTTAAATTAACACTAAGGATAAGGAGTCCAAACTTTCGACCGCTCTCCTGTTCAAACTTTTGGGACCATATTTTTCAGATAGCAAAGCAGCTAGCCCTTTTATTTTGGGGGCAGTAAAAGTATACCATAGAAAATATAGAATGTTTATTTATAAAAAGCATGTCTTTGTGTCATATTTCATAACATAAAATATCATCTGCACTAACTAATCAGCATATTTGAGGCTATATTGAGTTCCCAGTATGCGAGATTGTTAATTAAGGTAGTAATTCGTTTTTTTTTTCTTTCCTAGCACTGTATACTGGGGGAAAAACGGAACACACTGCTGAATAACTTAACTTTTGATTTAATGATTGAATCTTCACGTGCTAGGATTTAAATAAGCAATATCTCAATCTGAGAAACATATACTTTAATAATTTTTCATTACTTTTTTTAATAACAGTCAAGAAATTTTTGAATTGTTAAATTGCATGCTCACGTTTAATTTTTATGTAGAAAAATACAAAATGTTAATGAAATAGATCAAATTTCTTGTAGAATCAGATTTTAAAAAAGTCGTATATTTAATAATATAAAATAATTTATATACAATATTAATTTCTTGACGCTTTACCTTAGGCCTAAACTAATTCATTTTTGTCCTTAAACTAATATAATAACAAGCCAGCTTTTAAAAATTAAAAATATATATGTTCATAGCCTTAAATTTTCCTAACAAACTTAATAAAATAGATAACAAAATAAAAAATAATTTTTCGTTTGAAAAATCAAATTGAAAAAAAAAAAAAAAAAAAAAATTTAAAAAGAGCTATTAATTGTTTCAGATATTATAATTCAAACAATATTTGTAGCACGCATTTTTCTGTACAACCTAAACACCTGCTTTAAAAGCAATGTTTTTTAAACGCGGCTGCGCTCATAATAGCGGTATTAATGGAAATTATTTTCATTTTTCCGACAGATATGAACAAAAGTTCATTGACTCTCAATGCAACATTCTTTAAACATAAAGACAAAATCTAAAAAAAAAAGCCAAAATTTCAACAACAACAAAAATTCAATTAACATTATGAAAAAAATATTTTATTTTATAAAGAAGTTAAAATAAATTTTTTTAAGTTTATTTTGGGTAAATTATATTTTTTCAAAAAAAAAAAAAAAAAAAAAAACAAAAAANAAGAACAAAACTCTCTCTCAAAAAAAAAAAAAAAAAATTGTTGGGCGAATTAATTTTCTATAGGCGAGGGGAAATTTTAGTGGTGTAATAGAAATAAAATTATTTTCCTTTTAGTCGGTTTCCTATTTTGCATTTATCTCCTATTTTCATTATTTTCTTCTTATCACTTTAGTATCTGTTAATTAAAGTCGGAGAGTGATTGAAATTTCTAATTGCATAAAATGGAGATAAATTTTTATGAAATGTAAGCTTATGCTTGTATTTATTGGCATCAGGCAAAAACTCCATATGAAATTTGCGTACTGCTAGTCAGAAAGTAGCTTATAATAAAATATAAATTTTGACTGTCATTAGGCAATGCAACTTCAAGATTCCATCCAACTGAGTGCTCTAGTTAGTCGAAAGTTGACATTTTGATTTTAAGATTCCATCCTCATACACACAAAGCAAATATAATTAAAATAATAGAAAAACGCGGTAATAATAATGAAATAAAATAAAAATTTTAAATTGTAATCTTGTCACAACTAAAACTAAAAACAGCGAATTACTTTTGAAAAAAGAGGGGGAATCTTTGGTGGTGTAAGAAACTTATTACAAAGGAGATGCGCCCCATGCTTTTCTTATTAGTTCCCTTGAAAAAAGTAGTTTTTGCTGTTTTTATTTTATTTCATAAATTCAATTATACAAGTGTTGTGTTTGTTATTGACGGAAAGTGGTCGAATGTTCCATTGGTGATAATAGGAAGATAAGAAAACAATTGTAACTTATATTTTATTTTATAACAGTCCTTGAACTAATTTTCAGTTTACCAAATTTTCAGTTTACGGCTACAAAAGTTCAACTCCTTATTCTTGTAATTTTGAACCCAATACAAAAGATAAAGGAACTCCTGAATTAAATATTGTGAGATATTTGCCTCCTTTAGGACTTTCAGATGGAATTAACCCGGATTTGCGTTACATGGAGAGGAAAACCACGAAAACCTCCCACAGTTAGCCTGACAAGGGGACTCCAACCCATTATTCGAATATGAATCAACCCGCTTAGCCTCACTGGAAACTGAACACTCTATCCCCCAAGCCACCACGGCTCATTTCAAGATTATTTTATTCAGGGTGCGTGGCCAAATTATTCAACAAAAAATAAGCACCTCTTCAGAACTCAAAAAATATTTTTAAGCACTTTTAAAAAATATCATAATTAGGCAGGGTTGGAAAGTTTTTGGCATTGTTTTTGATAATTGTCAAAAATTATGAAATTTTGAATTAAGTAAAACGAATGGCGTTTTCATACACTACGGACTGACAATACGCCGAAATAGATTAGGGTTGAATTAATTGTGAAAACGTTGAATAGAACAATGTGAGCTGTCTTTTTGCATAAATCGTAGCGAAAATCAACATGGTAAAGGAAAAATCTCATTTTAAAAAAGGGAAAATTAAGCACTTTTTAATAACACCCAATGAAAGAAGCACCTTTAAGGGCTTTTAAAAAACGAAAATCGAAAATAAGCTCCTTTAAGCACTTTTTAAAAACGCTACGCACCCTGTTATTTTATAACCGTCGTTGCACAGTCGACCCAATTCTGGGTTTCTGACTGCTAACGTTCAACTCCGTAGCCTTGTAATTTTGAACCGAATCCAGAAGAATAAGAAACTCCTGGATAAAAGTGGCTACCAGAATATTAGAGTCTACCCAGCACAGGCTACTAACTGAAAATTACGGCCCATGTCTAAAAGGTCGCGAGTTCAATCCCCACGCCCGAAGAGTTCCGGTGCAGTAAATGATTACTGATGGACGTTGAATCTGTCGGGTCACAAAGTCCTCCATGTTCCCATAAGAAATCATACTTCTGGGGATACTGAATTGGATATTGATCGTT